GTCCCCCGCGGACTCCCCTGACATTCTGACATGGGCAAAATCAACAAACTCAACTTTTGTGAGAGCCGGCCAAAAGGGGTCAAAATGGAAAAATTGTACCCCAAAATAGTGCCTTATGACCCCGCAGGAGTCCCCCGCGGACTCCCCTGACATTCTGACATGGTCGAAATCATCCAACTCAACTTTGGTGAGAACCGGGCAAAGGGGTCAAAATGTAAAAATTATACCCCAAAATAGTGCCTTATGACCGCGCAGGAGTCCCCCACGGACTCCCCTGACATTCTGACATGGTCGAAATCATCCAACTCAACTTTGGTGAGAACCGGGCAAAGGGGTCAAAATGTAAAAATTATACCCCAAAATAGTGCCTCAAAATCGGGTAGAGTCACCTGCAAAGTGCCCTCGCATTCCTCCAGGGCTCAAAATGTCAAACTTAAACTATTTGGAGAACCAGGAAAATGTAAAAATTATGTCCCAAAATAGGGCCTCAAAATCGGGTAGAGTCACCTGTGAAGTGCCCTCGCATTCCTCCATGAAGAACTTAAAGTATTGGGAGAACCAGGCTGGGGGGTCTTGAGGCACAAAATTAGGCCCACTCAGAGTGCTTGGTGAGCGGATACATTCTTCCATGATTTCCAACAGCCGAGTGCACCCAAAAACTGGGTTTCCGATTTTGTGCGGACGGTAGTTAGAAAAGTATGGATGAATCTTTTTCACAGGGTAGGGGAAATGAAGCCCAAGAACCTTTTCCACTTCTCCGTTGCACCAACCATCGGAGAAGGGGAAAAATCGGCCCGAAGCGCCAAACACCTGGCCCCTTCTCCTGTTAGCACTTAGAAACATTTTGACAATTTTTCAAAACTTCATTTTTGATTATTTTAAGATATAATTAAGCGTTTTCTTCACTTGTTTTTGCTTTCCACGGGTGGGGGCGCCTGGCAGGCCGCCTATGAGCACCCAAATTCGGCCTGGATCATCCAGGATTTGTGGTCTAAGCTCCATAAACTGACTAAATCACCCAGAGAGGTCACCTTTCTAGCCCAAATATATATAATACAAATACATTTAAATAGTAAAAGGTGCATTTGTGCTCTGCATTACCCGGAATTTTATTTTCATAGCCCCATGATAGTGATTAAAAATCATTTTCATGGGAAAAAGTGTTAAAACGCCTGATTAAATTATATGCAGGACCCCAGTGAGCTCCAGACTATGTGCATTGTGTTGGGGAACCATATAAATGATGGAATACATGCATTTAAATGCAAAAATAATGATTTAAAATCATTTTAGGGGGACAATTGTGGAGAGGAGCCTGAAAATGACTCTGCAGCAGGCCGCCTATGAGCACCCAAATTCGGCCTTCTTCACGGCACCACCACCCCTTCTGTGGAGGGTATTCTCGTGCCCCTGGTGACTCTACAAGGGGGGTGGTTTTTATGGTGCTTATATGTCCGCCTATGAGCACCCAAATTCGGCCTGGATCATCCAGGATTTGTGGGCTAAGCTCCATAAACTGACTAAATCACCCAGAGAGGTCACCTTTCTAGCCCGCTCACAGAGCCCCCAAGGACGGACTAGAGACCTCCAGCAGCAGTACCCAACAGTGGGACTCTGCACCTCCAGGAGAGACCAGGGGGAAATCACCTCTCTCTGCCCGCTCACAGACCCCCAAAGTACGGACTAATTACCTCCAGCATGTTCCCCTAACAGTGGGACTCTGTGTATTTCAGACCTCCAGGGCGGAGACCGTGAAAATCACCTCCCTCTGCCCGCTCACAGACCCCCAAAGTACGGACTAATTACCTCCAGCATGTTCCCCTAACAGTGGGACTCTGTGTATTTCAGACCTCCAGGGCGGAGACCGTGAAAATGACCTCCCTCTGCCCGCTCACGGACCCCCAAAGTACGGACTAATTACCTCCAGCATGTTCCCCTTACAGTGGGACTCTGTGTATTTCAGACCTCCAGGAGAGACCAGGGGGAAATCACCTCTCTCTGCCCGCTCACAGAGCCCCCAAGGACGGACTAGAGACCTCCAGCAGCAGTCCCCAACAGTGGGACTCTGCACCTCCAGGAGAGACCAGGGGGAAATCACCTCTCTCTGCCCGCTCACAGAGCCCCGAAGGACGGACTCATGACCACCAGCATGTCCCCATAACAGTGGCACCTCCATAACCTTGCACTCACTTCACTTGTCTCACACACACCCAGGGGGGTGAAAGAGGACACATTGGAGCACACATTGACCCAGCAGTAAGTGCTTGAAACGTGGGTAAAGGTGTGTTAAACTGTGGGGTAACATGTTTCAAATGACAGCACGGTGCTGCTTGTTGGCAGGCTGACTCAGTTCACTTGTCTCACACACACCCAGGGGGGGAAAGATAACACTTGTACCCAGGAATAAGTGTTTGAAAGGCGGGGAAAAGTTGTTTGAAATAGTATAATACCTCCAGGCCGCATAACTGCACTTTACAAGCCAGAAATAATGTTTTAAATGGTCGGGGAAAGTATTTTTAAATGTCTGGAAGAGAGTTTTAGCCAGTCATTTTGCACGAAATCATTTAACATTGACGGTCTCCTGAAAATGCACAGAATATGTGCTTTTTCAGGAGACCGTCAATGTTAAATGATATCGTGCAAAATGACTGACTAAAACCCCGGAATAAGTGTTTGAAAGGCGGGGAAAAAGTTGTTTTAAAATAGGCTGATACCTCCAGGACGCATAACATGGGTAAAAAGTGTGTTAAAAGGTCGGGGAACATGTTTCAAATGACAGCAGACTGGTGGTTGTTAGCAGGCTGGCTCAGTTCACTTGTCTCACACACACCCAGGGGGGGAAAGAGGACACATTGACCCAGGAGAAAGTGCTCAAAACGTGGGTAAAAGTGTGTTGAAAAGTGGGGGTACATGTTTCAAATGACAGCACACTGCTGCTTGTTGGCAGGCTGACTCAGTTCACTTGTCTCACACACACCCAGGGGGGGAAAGATAACACTTATACCCAGGAATAAGTGTTTGAAAGGCGGGGAAAAGTTGTTTGAAATAGTATAATATCTCCAGGGCGCATAACTGCACTTTACAAGTCAGAAATAATGTTTAAATGGTCGGGGAAAGTATTTTTAAATGTCTGGAAGAGAGTTTTAGACAGTCATTTTGCACGAAATCATTTAACATTGACGCTCTCCTGAAAATGCACAGAATATGTGCTTTTTCAGGAGACCGTCAATGTTAAATGATTTCGTGCAAAATGACTGGCTAAAACCCCGGAATAAGTGTTTGAAAGGCGGGGAAAAGTTGTTTAAAATAGTCTGATATCTCCAGGGCGCATCACCAAAAATGTACAAGCCAGGGAAGATGCCTGAATCCCGGATACTTTAGGTCTGTCACTTAGGGTGACCGCACCACTCCGACGCTCCCGAGAGCGGACGTCCATTGTTTGTAAGGCACCTAAGAGGGAGCGAGTCCACTAAGGTTAGGGTAAGACGCTTACAATCTTTCTTTGTTTGTTTAAAGGTAGAGGGTCTTTAGATAGATAGAATCGGAGGATGAAACCCTCATTAACAAAGACACACAGTGAAATGTTCCTGTTTGTCTGCTAGGATGCTTCAACATTGCCGTATTACGTGTTATTACTTCGGGTTAAAGCATAATTCCTTACTTTGCATAGCGTCACCAGCTTTAACAACCTCCACTTGCCAAAGGACCTGTTCAAGGGCAGGAGGTGAACTCTTCAAGTACCAGTCCGAACTCCATATTTAGGTCTTTTCGGGGACTTGAACCAGCAACCCTACGGTCCAAGTCCCTATTAACTGAGCCACGGACTTTAGAGATGCATAGGAATGAAAGGGGCAGATAGAGGACATGACTTACTCGGCAGCGGTTTAAGCGTGTCCTTCTTTCTTTACATGTGACCTGCTGTCAAAAATCCAACATAGAGGTATTTTTATTTCGTTGTTGTCGAGAACTAAAACTTATTTAAATGTATTTCCGTGTTGTAGGCGGTCGACTGTTGTGTAAAGTAGTAAAAAACTGTAAATTATAGTATCCGTCCAAAAATTATTTTGTACTTATAGTGAAAACTACCCTTGGATGATGGGTTAGTAGACTAAAAGCTTTAGGAATCCAAAATACAACATATAATAAGTACCCTGTATCAAGATTGATGCAAAACAAGTGACATTTGACCTTTTTAGAGAGGTTTAGCAAAGATAAACCACTTCTGGGGTCATTTGGGTGGAAATGGGGGCTTTACCGTTACTCTGGAACCCATTGGTCGATTTTGGTGATTGACATCTCTTTCTGACCGTTAGAGCCAATAGAATCGAAGGGGAATTTCCCCACACACATGGTAAAACAAAAAGTGGGGGCTTCGCGCATGCAGTTTTGCATCAGAGTGAACCTATCTCTCGCTCTGACATCTGGAAACGGAAAAGCAGGTTTATTGCTCATGGATTATCAGAAATAATTTCAAAGGGACACAGACACATTAGATTAACCATTGAAGACCACTTTTGACCAGACTACGACACAGGTAAGCCATGTTAGCGTTTTTAGCTACGTAGCGCCGTATGTTTTGATGTCTGTTTTTGTTTATAAAGTCGCAAGTTCTTATCATAGAGTGATATGTACCCATCGATTATGTGTCATCTCACGATCAGATCGATGTGTTGGATGTGCAGAAAGGATAAATAATAAAGTTTTATGAGTGAGTTTCGGTGCAGTAATCTGTTAGCATTTTTCGCTCTTTGCTAATTCAGAGGCTCAGCGTTAGCATTGTGTTTTTTTTTTTGAAAAATAAATAAAAATTATCAGTTAGATGAGTTTCTTCCCGTTACATGGATATAAAACATTCATAGTTTATTAAATATTAAGATGCCCTCAGACACTGTTTCCTGCAAGATGTTGCGGGAGGGCCCCGGTACCGGGGTCTCTCGAGCTTAACAGGTTAATTAATTAATTTATAGATCCTTCATTAATGTATTCATTTGTTTATTTAGCAGAACTGCTCCTCATCCAGAGCACGGTCTGCAGAAGGTGACCAACATGGAGGATGCTGCAGGATCTGAGGTGAGAGTTAAGGCATCCTGTGCCTCAGAGAGTTAGTTCCTCGTTAGCTGAAAAGAGTGACCAGAGCTCTCAGGAGACCACCAGTTCACTGCAGACTGCTGGGTCTGTAGATGCTGATCAGTGACAGCTTCACCGAGTGTCCATACATACAGCCTCAGGTCCGATGTTACGATAACAAATCGATTTAGGACCTTCTCCTAGGGTGCTAGCTTCAAAAACTATTTGGGGTCCAACTGTCTTTTTTATGAAATGGCAAAAAGACCATTTGTATACAATATTTCTCACCACATGTTACCGTGAACTCTTAAATATGTTTTTCTCACATGCCTCTATGGTAAACAAAACACGGGAAAATGATTGATGATTGAAGTACATTTGGGCTGCATTTTAACAACAGAAAAACTCAATGAAAATATTTGATACCCAAAAACTTGTGCAGGGTTAATTGTCATAAATAAGTAATAATAAAACAACAATACATCTGAATCTTTTTTTCTCATGTTGCAGACTGGTACAGGAACAATCAGAATAAAGAAGGAGAAGGATGCTGATCCCACTGTGAGTAAACTGTGATTGAGGAAAATTCTGCATTTTTATTTCATCAACAAGTAGACTTTCATTTTCTTCCTCTGGTTTTCCTGCAGGCCGGACATTCACATCGCTTCAGAGTGAAATTCAGTTCTTCTGACCCCAAGGAATACGTTATAGACTGTGTTCAACCTGGAACAGTGCTGCAGGCGATACAAACATGTGACAAACATGAGGAGCGGTTTTCAGATGAAAACCTTGTGATTCAGCTGAGTAAAAAGGATAGGAAATATGCTATTGCAACGCATTTCCCTTGTACTTGTATCTGGGAAGATGTGTGTCTGATCTTATCGCATGAAAAAGAAAAGATTGAAGAGACCCAAGGCCAAAATGAGGAACCAATACAGTCAAAGGACATGTATTCTGTCTTCTCTATTGATACAGAGGGAGGAGAAAACACCAGAACAAAGCCGTTTATCAGAAGCAAGGCTTTCAGTACGTTCAAGTATCTGTGTGTGTATGGGGAGAAGGGTATGACAGTGGAGGACGCTCTGAAAAGAGATGGACGCTTCATTGATGATCTTGGAAACTTCACTCTGTCCGACAACAAGGATCCAATGAAAAGCACTGGATGTACCCAACCTGTTGACAACTTGCATGGAAAAAAATTCAAGTTGTGCCTTGAAAGGATGCGTAACGAAAAAGCAGTCAGAGAAGAATTAAAGCAGAGAATAGACGTTATCCAAAAAACAATGGAAAACAATACATTTAGTGTCAAAGATTTAGTGGATCGTGTCAGAGCAGAGAACAGATCAGAGGGAAAGAGTGGTCAGAGTGGCAGCAGTGTCAACGTTACAGAGATTTATGGTTTACTGCAGAAGCAGTGTGCAGATCTGAAGAAACTGATGAGGAGGAGATTCCCAGGTGATTCTTATCAGACGGCACTGAACCTGAGGAGGAGAGACTTTAGAAAGATCCAACAGTCGTTCAGCGACGTTCACAGAGTCAGAGAGCTGATGAAACTGGGAGAGTCAGTTTGCAAAGTTATTGTTGAAGGTTATTGTACAGGAACAGGTTTTGTGTTGTTTGACAACTTCATCTTGACTAACGCACACCTGTTGAAACAATGTGTTGAAAAAGGAATCAAAAAGCTGAAGGATGATATAAAGGTGGAGGTTATCTTTAACTTTGAAGAAAAGCTCAAATATCACCACTACTTTCAGCTGGCTCACCGTAACATCCTCTACTGTCATGATGACCTTGATTATGCCATACTTCAGCTTAAGTCAGTCAGCCAGAAGGACAACCCAGAAACAACTAAAGTCACAAAAGAGAAGGTGCCACCAGGGCTCCTGGAGAGGTTTGGTCCAATGCCTAAGAGTGGTGGAGCCTGTCTCATTGGTCACCCAGATGGAGTGAAACAACTGGATCCAACATCTGTCATTGAGAGAGAAAACAGGGAGAAGGCTGTTGAGGAGCCATACAAAGACAAAGCTTTCATTCTCCACATAATCAATAAAATCAAAAGCAAGGCATTGAAAGCATATTGGTAGGTGGAAACAGAGCAGAGAAAGAAACAACCTACAACACCTCCTTCATGTATCACGGCTCGGCTGGATCCCCAGTGTTTGATGCTGAGTGCAGGGTTTTTGGTTTGTACACCTCAGGATTCGTTTACGGTCATCCAAAGCCTGAGAGTGTGATAGAGTGTGCCCAACCTCTGCTAACTATCTTTGCACACTTTGTGAGTAAACTGAGGAAGCCTGGGAATGAGGAGCTGTTGAAGAGAGTTAAGGAAGTAGCAGAGGGAAACTCATACCTAGAAAACATACTCAAACCCGACTCTGATGACTCAATGGTGACTGATTAGAAAGATTAGATAATCAGGGGCTAAACACACAAGGCTGGACAGCTTCTATTCCCATGCATCATCATATTTAAGATCTGTTTTCTAGTATGTGCATCCTGTTTTATATTGACTTCTCTGTTAGACTGTGACAGCCAATTGTACTTATTTCTATATCCACAGTTCTTGTAAGCATTACTCTTTTATTTTATCATAGTTTTTTTTTTTCATTATCTATTGTTGTTCTTTGTTTTACAACGTCCTTACTTTGCTGTGTTCATGTATGCACCATTGTACACTAAATTAACTTAATTGGCAATAAACCAAATTCTGATGTTGATTGTACTGCATACTCACGGTTTGTGGAATATATTAATGTATTTTTTTATGTATTTCTTTGAGGCAGTGAACTGAATGTCATATTGTTCATATATTTTCTCTTGTAACATGTATTGGAAGCTCCTAAAGTGTGAGCTGATATTTGTTTTTATTTCAATGTCATATATTTCTCCCGTGGTAAATGTGTTTATTCTGTCCTGGCTTTTCCTACCAATATATTCTGTGTTTTATTAAAAGTTGATCTCTTCAAAATCTGTTTCTTGTCTCTGATTTTTTAAATTTAGGGTTATGTTATTCAACGTATTTAGCCCCGCCCCTTTTCCCGCTTCCGGCGAGTAAAAGAACCTAAAGACCAAAAATAGAGCCGAAAAACTGTTTCTTTGGCAAGTGGAGGTTGATAAAGCTGGTGACGCTATGCAAAGTAAGCAATTATGCTTTAACCTGAAGTACTAACACATAATACGGCAATGCTGAAGTCCTAGAGCAGGAGACGGTGAATTGTTCCCACCATTTTCACCCTTTAGTCTTAACAGGCGATAACATTTTCTTTCCATATGTGCTGAAATAACAACCCGGGACTTGCTGCAAAGAGAACATTATGATTTAGGGTACCATCACTTTATGTTTTCTCACCTGAAAAAGGTTACTAAAGTCAAGGTAAGATGCTTACAATCTTTCTTTGTTATTTAGGCCAGAGAGGGTCTTTAGATAGATAGAATCGAAGGGATGAAACCCTCATTAACAAAGCACACAAAGTGAAATGTGCCTGTTTGTCTGCTAGGAAGCTTCAACATTGCCGTATTACGTGTTAGTACTTCAGGTTAAATCATAATTCCTTACTTTGCATAGCGTCACCAGCTTTAACAACCTCCACTTGCCAAAGGACCTGTTCAAGGGCAGGAGGTGAACTCTTCAAGTACCAGTCCGAACTCCATATTTAGGTCTTTTCGGGGACTTGAACCAGCAACCCTACGGTCCAAGTCCCTATTAACTGAGCCACGGACTTTAGAGATGCATAGGAATGAAAGGGGCAGATAGAGGACATGACTTACTCGGCAGCGGTTTAAGCGTGTCCTTCTTTCTTTACATGTGACCTGCTGTCAAAAATCCAACATAGAGGTATTTTTATTTCGTTGTTGTCGAGAACTAAAACTTATTTAAATGTATTTCCGTGTTGTAGGCGGTCGACTGTTGTGTAAAGTAGTAAAAAACTGTAAATTATAGTATCCGTCCAAAAATTATTTTGTACTTATAGTGAAAACTACCCTTGGATGATGGGTTAGTAGACTAAAAGCTTTAGGAATCCAAAATACAACATATAATAAGTACCCTGTATCAAGATTGATGCAAAACAAGTGACATTTGACCTTTTTAGAGAGGTTTAGCAAAGATAAACCACTTCTGGGGTCATTTGGGTGGAAATGGGGGCTTTACCGTTACTCTGGAACCCATTGGTCGATTTGGTGATTGACATCTCTTTCTGACCGTTAGAGCCAATAGAATCGAAGGGGAATTTCCCCACACACATGGTAAAACAAAAAGTGGGGGCTTCGCGCATGCAGTTTTGCATCAGAGTGAACCTATCTCTCGCTCTGACATCTGGAAACGGAAAAGCAGGTTTATTGCTCATGGATTATCAGAAATAATTTCAAAGGGACACAGACACATTAGATTAACCATTGAAGACCACTTTTGACCAGACTACGACACAGGTAAGCCATGTTAGCGTTTTTTAGCTACGTAGCGCCATATGTTTTGATGTCTGTTTTTGTTTATAAAGTCGCAAGTTCTTATCATAGAGTGATATGTACCCATCGATTATGTGTCATCTCACGATCAGATCGATGTGTTGGATGTGCAGAAAGGATAAATAATAAAGTTTTATGAGTGAGTTTCGGTGCAGTAATCTGTTAGCATTTTTCGCTCTTTGCTAATTCAGAGGCTCAGCGTTAGCATTGTGTTTTTTTTTTTGAAAAATAAATAAAAATTATCAGTTAGATGAGTTTCTTCCCGTTACATGGATATAAAACATTCATAGTTTATTAAATATTAAGATGCCCTCAGACACTGTTTCCTGCAAGATGTTGCGGGAGGGCCCCGGTACCGGGGTCTCTCGAGCTTAACAGGTTAATTAATTAATTTATAGATCCTTCATTAATGTATTCATTTGTTTATTTAGCAGAACTGCTCCTCATCCAGAGCACGGTCTGCAGAAGGTGACCAACATGGAGGATGCTGCAGGATCTGAGGTGAGAGTTAAGGCATCCTGTGCCTCAGAGAGTTAGTTCCTCGTTAGCTGAAAAGAGTGACCAGAGCTCTCAGGAGACCACCAGTTCACTGCAGACTGCTGGGTCTGTAGATGCTGATCAGTGACAGCTTCACCGAGTGTCCATACATACAGCCTCAGGTCCGATGTTACGATAACAAATCGATTTAGGACCTTCTCCTAGGGTGCTAGCTTCAAAAACTATTTGGGGGTCCAACTGTCTTTTTTATGAAATGGCAAAAAGACCATTTGTATACAATATTTCTCACCACATGTTACCGTGAACTCTTAAATATGTTTTCTCACATGCCTCTATGGTAAACAAAACACGGGAAAATGATTGATGATTGAAGTACATTTGGGCTGCATTTTAACAACAGAAAAACTCAATGAAAATATTTGATACCCAAAAACTTGTGCAGGGTTAATTGTCATAAATAAGTAATAATAAAACAACAATACATCTGAATCTTTTTTTCTCATGTTGCAGACTGGTACAGGAACAATCAGAATAAAGAAGGAGAAGGATGCTGATCCCACTGTGAGTAAACTGTGATTGAGGAAAATTCTGCATTTTTATTTCATCAACAAGTAGACTTTCATTTTCTTCCTCTGGTTTTCCTGCAGGCCGGACATTCACATCGCTTCAGAGTGAAATTCAGTTCTTCTGACCCCAAGGAATACGTTATAGACTGTGTTCAACCTGGAACAGTGCTGCAGGCGATACAAACATGTGACAAACATGAGGAGCGGTTTTCAGATGAAAACCTTGTGATTCAGCTGAGTAAAAAGGATAGGAAATATGCTATTGCAACGCATTTCCCTTGTACTTGTATCTGGGAAGATGTGTGTCTGATCTTATCGCATGAAAAAGAAAAGATTGAAGAGACCCAAGGCCAAAATGAGGAACCAATACAGTCAAAGGACATGTATTCTGTCTTCTCTATTGATACAGAGGGAGGAGAAAACACCAGAACAAAGCCGTTTATCAGAAGCAAGGCTTTCAGTACGTTCAAGTATCTGTGTGTGTATGGGGAGAAGGGTATGACAGTGGAGGACGCTCTGAAAAGAGATGGACGCTTCATTGATGATCTTGGAAACTTCACTCTGTCCGACAACAAGGATCCAATGAAAAGCACTGGATGTACCCAACCTGTTGACAACTTGCATGGAAAAAAATTCAAGTTGTGCCTTGAAAGGATGCGTAACGAAAAAGCAGTCAGAGAAGAATTAAAGCAGAGAATAGACGTTATCCAAAAAACAATGGAAAACAATACATTTAGTGTCAAAGATTTAGTGGATCGTGTCAGAGCAGAGAACAGATCAGAGGGAAAGAGTGGTCAGAGTGGCAGCAGTGTCAACGTTACAGAGATTTATGGTTTACTGCAGAAGCAGTGTGCAGATCTGAAGAAACTGATGAGGAGGAGATTCCCAGGTGATTCTTATCAGACGGCACTGAACCTGAGGAGGAGAGACTTTAGAAAGATCCAACAGTCGTTCAGCGACGTTCACAGAGTCAGAGAGCTGATGAAACTGGGAGAGTCAGTTTGCAAAGTTATTGTTGAAGGTTATTGTACAGGAACAGGTTTTGTGTTGTTTGACAACTTCATCTTGACTAACGCACACCTGTTGAAACAATGTGTTGAAAAAGGAATCAAAAAGCTGAAGGATGATATAAAGGTGGAGGTTATCTTTAACTTTGAAGAAAAGCTCAAATATCACCACTACTTTCAGCTGGCTCACCGTAACATCCTCTACTGTCATGATGACCTTGATTATGCCATACTTCAGCTTAAGTCAGTCAGCCAGAAGGACAACCCAGAAACAACTAAAGTCACAAAAGAGAAGGTGCCACCAGGGCTCCTGGAGAGGTTTGGTCCAATGCCTAAGAGTGGTGGAGCCTGTCTCATTGGTCACCCAGATGGAGTGAAACAACTGGATCCAACATCTGTCATTGAGAGAGAAAACAGGGAGAAGGCTGTTGAGGAGCCATACAAAGACAAAGCTTTCATTCTCCACATAATCAATAAAATCAAAAAGCAAGGCATTGAAAGCATATTGGTAGGTGGAAACAGAGCAGAGAAAGAAACAACCTACAACACCTCCTTCATGTATCACGGCTCGGCTGGATCCCCAGTGTTTGATGCTGAGTGCAGGGTTTTTGGTTTGTACACCTCAGGATTCGTTTACGGTCATCCAAAGCCTGAGAGTGTGATAGAGTGTGCCCAACCTCTGCTAACTATCTTTGCACACTTTGTGAGTAAACTGAGGAAGCCTGGGAATGAGGAGCTGTTGAAGAGAGTTAAGGAAGTAGCAGAGGGAAACTCATACCTAGAAAACATACTCAAACCCGACTCTGATGACTCAATGGTGACTGATTAGAAAGATTAGATAATCAGGGGCTAAACACACAAGGCTGGACAGCTTCTATTCCCATGCATCATCATATTTAAGATCTGTTTTCTAGTATGTGCATCCTGTTTTATATTGACTTCTCTGTTAGACTGTGACAGCCAATTGTACTTATTTCTATATCCACAGTTCTTGTAAGCATTACTCTTTTATTTTATCATAGTTTTTTTTTTCATTATCTATTGTTGTTCTTTGTTTTACAACGTCCTTACTTTGCTGTGTTCATGTATGCACCATTGTACACTAAATTAACTTAATTGGCAATAAACCAAATTCTGATGTTGATTGTACTGCATACTCACGGTTTGTGGAATATATTAATGTATTTTTTTATGTATTTCTTTGAGGCAGTGAACTGAATGTCATATTGTTCATATATTTTCTCTTGTAACATGTATTGGAAGCTCCTAAAGTGTGAGCTGATATTTGTTTTTATTTCAATGTCATATATTTCTCCCGTGGTAAATGTGTTTATTCTGTCCTGGCTTTTCCTACCAATATATTCTGTGTTTTATTAAAAGTTGATCTCTTCAAAATCTGTTTCTTGTCTCTGATTTTTTAAATTTAGGGTTATGTTATTCAACGTATTTAGCCCCGCCCCTTTTCCCGCTTCCGGCGAGTAAAAGAACCTAAAGACCAAAAATAGAGCCGAAAAAACTGTTTCTTTGGCAAGTGGAGGTTGATAAAGCTGGTGACGCTATGCAAAGTAAGCAATTATGCTTTAACCTGAAGTACTAACACATAATACGGCAATGCTGAAGTCCTAGAGCAGGAGACGGTGAATTGTTCCCACCATTTTCACCCTTTAGTCTTAACAGGCGATAACATTTTCTTTCCATATGTGCTGAAATAACAACCCGGGACTTGCTGCAAAGAGAACATTATGATTTAGGGTACCATCACTTTATGTTTTCTCACCTGAAAAAGGTTACTAAAGTCAAGGTAAGATGCTTACAATCTTTCTTTGTTATTTAGGCCAGAGAGGGTCTTTAGATAGATAGAATCGAAGGGATGAAACCCTCATTAACAAAGCACACAAAGTGAAATGTGCCTGTTTGTCTGCTAGGAAGCTTCAACATTGCCGTATTACGTGTTAGTACTTCAGGTTAAATCATAATTCCTTACTTTGCATAGCGTCACCAGCTTTAACAACCTCCACTTGGCAAATAACCTGTTCAAGGGCAGGAGGTGAACTCTCCAAGTACCAGTCCAAACTCCATATGTAGGTCTTTTCGGGGACTTGAACCAGCAACCCTACGGTCCAAGTCCCTATTAACTGAGCCACGGACTTTAGAGATGTAAAGGGATGAAAGGGGCAGATAGAGGACATGACTTACTAGGCAGCGGTTTAAGCATGTCCTTCTTTCTTTACATGTGACCTGCTGTCAAAAATCCAACATAGAGGTACTTTTATTTAACCTTCCAGTTCTTCTGGGAAACGCTCATTTCTATTTCAAAGATTCAAAGGCTTAGATACAGGTAACTTCTTTAGTCCCAGGCTCCTCCAACAATACAACATAAATATATACAAACAATAAAACAATAAAACAATACAAATAGAGCAAGAAGTACATTTGTCCTGCAGTGAGTACACAATCTATTGCATTATAACCAATTCAGTTTTAGGAGACATAGAAACTAAATTATTAAATGAAATATTTAATAATATAATGCTTATAAGAGCATCACTTTCATATAACTTGAGTTATATAGTTATTGATATTTATTTCATCTTTATATTTCATGTTGTATATTTAACCTCATTCATTTCACCTTATTTATTAAACCTTGTTTTTTTTTCTTCTTATTCATGTATTAATTTATAGATCCTTCATTAATGTATTCATTTGTTTATTCAGCAGAACTGCTCCTCATCCAGAGCACGGTCTGCAGAAGGTGACCAACATGGAGGATGCTGCAGGATCTGAGGTGAGAGTTAAGGCATCCTGCGCCTCAGGAGAGTTAGTTCCTCGTTAGCTGAAAAGAGTGACCAGAGCTCTCAGGAGACCACCAGTTCACTGCAGACTGCTGGGTCTGTAGATGCTGATCAGTGACAGCTTCACCCGAGTGTCCAAACATACGGCCTCAGGTCCGATGTTATGATAACAAATCGATTTAGGACCTTCTCCTAGGGTGCTAGCTTCAAAAACTATTTGGGATCCAACTGTCTTTTTTATGAAATGACAAAAAGACCATTTGTATACAATATTTCTCACCACATGTTACCGTGAACTCTTAAATATGTTTTTTTTTTTTTTCACATGCCTCTATGGTAAACAAAGAATCAACACACGGGAAAATGATTGATGATTGAAGTACATTCTGGCTGCATTTTAACAACAGAAAAACTAAATGAAAATATTTGATAACTTACACAAAAACTTGTGCAGGGTTAATTGTCACAAATAAGTAATAATAAAACTCCTTTAAGGTCAAATCTGTTCACACATGGATTTGATGAGGGAAGTCCATTACTGTAACAACAATACATTTATATATTCTTTCTCATTTTGTAAACTGTGATACACTGCACATACAAACATTCTGCATTTTTATTTTATCAACAAGTAGATGTTACTTTCATTTTCATACTCTGGTTTTCCAGCAGGCCGGACATTCACATAGCTTCAGTGGTCAGAGTGGCAGCAGTGACGACGTTGAAGAGATTTATGATTTACTGCAGAAGCAGTGTGCAGATCTGAAGAAACTGATGACGAGGAGATTCCCAGGTGATTCTTATCAGAAGGCACTGAACCTGAGGAAGAAAGACTTTGGAAAGATCCGAAAGTCGTTCAGCGACGTTCACAGAGTCAGAGAGCTGATAAAACTGGGCGAGTCAGTTTGTGCAATTGTGACTCCATTTAAGACAGGAACAGGGTTTGTGTTGTTTGACAACTTCATCTTGACTAACGCACACCTGTTTAAACAATGTGTTGAAGACGGAAAGCCAAAGCTGAAGCATGATATAAAGGTGGAGGTTCTCTTTAACTTTGAAGAACAGCACAAAAATTACCACTACTTTCAGCTGGCTCACCGTAACATCCTCTACTGTCATGATGACCTTGATTATGCCATACTTGAGCTTATGCCTGTCGGCCTCAAATACAACCAAGACACAGAGGAAGTCACAGAAGAGAAGGTGCCAGCAGGGCTCCTGGAGAGGTTTGGTCCAATGCCTGAGAGTGGTGAAGCCAGTATCATTGGTCACCCAAATGGAGAAGTGAAACAACTGGATCCAACATCTATCATTGAGATAGAAAACAGGGTGAAGGCTGTTGAGGATCAATTAGAGCCATACAAAGGCACTGCTTTCATTCTCCACATAATCAATGAAATCACAAAGCAAGGCATTGAAAATATATTGGTAGGTGGAAACAGAGCAGAGAAAGTAACAACCTACAACACCTTCATGTGTCACGGCTCGTCTGGATCCCCAGTGTTTGATGCTGAGTGCAAAGTTTTTGGTTTGCACACCTCAGGATACGTTTACGATTTCCCAAAGCCTGAGAGTGTGATAGAGTGTGCCCAACCTCTGCTAACTATCTTTGAACACTTTGTGAGTAAACTGAGGAAGCCTGGGAATGAGGAGCGGTTGAAGAGAGTTAAGGAAGTAGCAAAGGAAAACGTAGTGCTAAAAAAGATACTCAACGCTGACTGTGATGACTCAATGGAGATTGATCGGAAAGATTAGATAATCAGGGGCTAAACACACAAGGCTGGACAGCTTATATTCCCATGCATCATTATACTTAAGATCTGTTTTCTAGTATGGACATCCTGTTTTATATTGACTTCTCTGTTAGTCTGTGACAGCCAATAGTACTTTTTTCTGTCTCCATATGTCTTGTAAGCATCACTTTTTTTTATCATAGTTATTTTTTTTTTTCATTATGTGGGGCGAAGCCTGCGAGCTAGTTCAGGCAGTCAACTCGAGCACTTATGCTGCATTCATACATAACGCCCCTTGCCACTCTACAACCAACCAAACAGAGTGTCCTTAATATGCCGCTCTATTGAACCTGCCAGATCTCTCTCTATGCTTTGCTTGCTGCTGCTACTGCTGCAGCTACTTCTACGTCGCTGCTGCTTGCCTGCCCCACCACCACCCCAGCTTCCACCCCAGCTTCCACCTGTAGGCTCGGGGGGTTAGTTATTTAATCATCACTCATGGTGCTATGTATATCTGTGGAGTGATGAGGCCTGAGCCTAGTTGCCAAACTCAACTATATGCTGCTTCTAATAAACATGTCAAAGAAACATGTGAGTTGTCTGACTGAACTATATTTGTTCTTTATTTTTACAACGTCATTACTTCACTGTGTTCATGTATGCACCATTGTACACCAAATTAACCTAATTGGCAATAAACTAAATTCTGATGTTGATTGTAGTGCATACTCACCGTTTGTGGAATATATGAATGTATTTTTTAATGTTTTTTTTTAATGTTTTTTTTTGAGGCAGTGAACTGAATGCCATATTGTTCATATATTTTCTCTTGTAACATGTACTGGAAGCTCCTAAAGTGTTGTTATGGCAGAATGTTTAATACAGCGTATGTATGATATTTATTAGAGATCACATGCTAAGCCATATGATGTGTGTTACTGAGTTGGGTCACACACAGTTAGAGAGACAATGGTCGTTCTGAATTATCAATAGATGTATTCATTTTAAGTGAGCTCACACAGAGGGAAAGGAAGTTCAGAGAAGGCCTCGGGTTATAAAAACAGTTAACCTTTGTTAGTTAACTAATCCTAAAGATGTCATGAGATGATGACATTTAAACATATACAGGTATAGCTTTCAGAGAGAAAAACATGTGACATTTGTGTGGTTGGCTGCATGATACAATGTGTGTGTGTTAAACATGTTTGGGGAACATGTTCGTGTGTCATTTAGAAAAGTATATCTAGCTCTGTGTTTCTTCTGTTCTGGGGGGCATTTCCGCGATTGGCTGCTGTGGCAGCAGGTGATGTACTTCCAATTATTGTTTGTTTGATGCAACAACTAAATAATAATTACTTATCAGCTATATCTGTGTTTGTGTTTTATTGATTCCTCTCTGTTTCATTCTTTCCTGTTGTGTTATGCTGGATCTCCACAACAGTGTGAGCTGATATTTGTTTTTATTTCAATGTCATATATTTCTCCCGTGGTAAATGTGTTTATTCTGTCCTGGCTTTTCCTACCAATGTATTCTGTTTGTGTTTTATTAAAAGTTGATCTCTTCGAAAAAAATGTTTCGAGTCTTCTGGCCAATCAGAATCAAGATTGTTGCCGGAAGTCCCCACAGAGAATAACTTTGCGGTAGAACTATTCTTTATACACCCATGGGTACAACTTCAGATAAAAATGAACACATAATGAAATATGACCCCCGGTGTGATGATTGACAGGTCACAGAACAATGGGAGCTATCTACCCTAACCCACAATTGAAAGTAATTCACACAGACTCTCTCCTCTTTACTCTTCTCCGTATTAGGTGCCTTACAAATAATGGACGTCCGCTCTCGGGAGCGTCGGAGTGGTGCGGTCACCCTAAGTGACAGACCTAAAGTATCCGGGATTCAGGCACCTTCCCTGGCTTGTACATTTTTGGTGATGCGCCCTGGAGGTATCAGACTATTTTAAACAACTTTTCCCCGCCTTTCAAACACTTATTCCTGGGTTTTAGCCAGTCATTTTGCACGATATTGTTTAACATTGACGCTCTCCTGAAAATGCACATATTCTGTGCATTTTCAGGAGAGCGTCAATGTTAAATGATATCGTGCAAAATGACTGGCTAAAACTCTCTTCCAGACATTTAAAAATACTTTCTCCGACCATTTAAACATTATTTCTGGCTTGTAAAGTGCAGTTATGCGCCCTGGAGGTATTATACTATTTCAAACAACTTTTCCCCGCCTTTCAAACACTTATTCCTGGGTACAAGTGTTATCTTTTCCCCCCTGGGTGTGTGTGAGACAGGTGAACTGAGTCAGCCTGCCAACAAGCAGCAGTCTGCTGTCATTTTAAACAGTTCCCCCAACTTTTTAACACACTTTTACCCACGTTTTGAGCACTCATTCCTGGGTCAATGTGTCATCTCTTCACCCTGGTCCTGAATTAAAACAGTTCCCCGACTTTTTAACACACTTTTACCCACGTTTTGAGCACTTATTCCTGGGTCAATGTGTCATCTCTTCACCCTGGTCCTGAATTAAAACAGTTCCCCCGACTTTAAGCACTAATGTGCCCATGATTCAGACACTTATTCCGGGGTCAATGTGTTCTCTTTTCCCCCCTGGGTGTGTGTGAGACAAGTGAACTGAGTCAGCCTGCCAACAAGCAGCAGTGTGCTGTCATTTGAAACATGTTCCCCGACTATTTAACACACTTTTAACCATGTTTTGAGCACTTATTCCTGGGTATAGAATCTGGAAATAGTAATTATTATTTTAGCAAAATAAATCAGCCACAAATGAACCAAAAACAAAAAATAATTACATTTTGCCAAAGTAAAAAAGCCTAACAATTTTACCAATGTCTTTTTATTTAAATGTATTTTTATTCATGTATTCTTCTTTCTATTTTAATCATCTAAAATGATGTGAAAAGAGTGAATATTATGGGATTGAGAGCATGTTCATGACTTTCAGGGTTTTTTATAGATTCTCTACACCAGGAGTCTCCAACCTTTTTTAGGATGAGAGCTACTTCCAAAAAATAAAACAAGTCGTGAGATACTTTTTCTCCTATTTGTTGTTTTTTGTTTTGCAGTGTATATATTTAGCACATTTTAACATTATTATATGTTTAACTTTAACCTCCGTGGCGGAGTGGGAGTGGGTAGGGTGTGTATTTGGAATTGGGCCAGCTTTACACGCCCACTGTGTGCCTCTTCCTATTTATTGAGCTCCGTACTGTTGGCGTCTTTTCCTCAGAGCAAGTCGACCGAAGTCAGGGTAAGACATCTCCTTTCTCTCTGAGTTATTTGTATTACTGTTATTATTATTCGCTTTATGAACGGTCACATCATTTAATGAATCTATTGAATCGTGTTCAGGGACACGAAATGCACGTTTTTTTCGTGTCAGACAGCACGATTTTCAAAGTAATGCATTTCAATTGGAGGAATTTAAAAAATAAAATAAAATAAAAACATTAGAAAATAATACAGCTTCCGGCTTCCCGACTGTTTCCCTTCTCCTGGCAAATATCTCAAACCTTAATAAATAAAATCGACAATTGACCAACAATAACAATTTAACATAAAAAACAAGGATAAGTTTGACTCAATGTTATGTAAAGTACCTGTTATGGTTAAAGAAAACAAAAACAAAAAAAACATGATATATTATTATATATATATAATATAATACAGCTTCCGGCTTCCCGAGACACGAAAAATAGAACGGAAAAAATGTGTGTAGGAGACACGAACAATTCCTCGAATTGAAATGCATTACTTTGAAAATCGTGCTGTGTGTGTCCTTACATGCCAACCCAGTCTCACACATTTCCGTGAGACTGGGTTGGCATGTAACGACACACACAGTGGTCGAATGTAACCTGTTATTGGTGGAAGAAATACTAACTAACCCAAAAAACCAACAAACAAATAAAAACTTCTTATCTGAACTCCTACTATAAAAAACAGCAAAAAGGGCTTCACACTCCTACTAAAGTTTATAGGTTAAAACTTAGATTATTAACAAACTGTGTATTTACAATAGTACAGAAGTCTTATTCAAACACCGGATGAATTCAGATCATCACCGTGTTTATTAGGTAGGAGCAGGAGAGATAAGAGAGGGTCTAACATGCTGCATCTTTCAAGATAACGGATGGGCTAATCAGAAGTCAGCAGCCGGTCCAATCAGGAATCAGCAGCAGGCTCATAAGAACTCCACTACACAGAATCTGGAAATAGTCATTATTATTTTAGCAAAATAAATCATCCACAAATGAACCAAAAACAACAAAATAATTACATTTTGCCAAAGTAAAAAAGCCTAACAATTTTACCAATGTCTTTTTATTTAAATGTATTTTTATTCATGTATTCTTCTTTCTATTTTAATCATCTAAAATGATGTGAAAAGAGTGAATATTATGGGATTGAGAGCATGTTCATGACTTTCAGGGTTTTTTTATAGATTCTCTACACCAGGAGTCTCCAACCTTTTTTAGGATGAGAGCTACTTCCAAAAAATAAAACAAGTCGTGAGATACTTTTTCTCCTATTTGTTGTTTTTTGTTTTTGCAGTGTATATATTTAGCACATTTTAACATTATTATATGTTTAACTTTAACCTCCGTGGCGGAGTGGGAGTGGGTAGGGTGTGTATTTGGAATTGGGCCAGCTTTACACGCCCACTGTGTGCCTCTTCCTATTTATTGAGCTCCGTACTGTTGGCGTCTTTTCCTCAGAGCAAGTCGACCGAAGTCAGGGTAAGACATCTCCTTTCTCTCTGAGTTATTTGTATTACTGTTATTATTATTCGCTTTATGAACGGTCACATCATTTAATGAATCTATTGAATCGTGTTCAGGGACACGAAATGCACGTTTTTTTCGTGTCAGACAGCACGATTTTCAAAGTAATGCATTTCAATTGGAGGAATTTAAAAAATAAAATAAAATAAAAACATTAGAAAATAATACAGCTTCCGGCTTCCCGACTGTTTCCCTTCTCCTGGCAAATATCTCAAACCTTAATAAATAAAATCGACAATTGACCAACAATAACAATTTAACATAAAAAACAAGGATAAGTTTGACTCAATGTTATGTAAAGTACCTGTTATGGTTAAAGAAAACAAAAACAAAAAAAACATGATATATTATTATATATATATAATATAATACAGCTTCCGGCTTCCCGAGACACGAAAAATAGAACGGAAAAAATGTGTGTAGGAGACACGAACAATTCCTCGAATTGAAATGCATTACTTTGAAAATCGTGCTGTGTGTGTCCTTACATGCCAACCCAGTCTCACACATTTCCGTGAGACTGGGTTGGCATGTAACGACACACACAGTGGTCGAATGTAACCTGTTATTGGTGGAAGAAATACTAACTAACCCAAAAAACCAACAAACAAATAAAAACTTCTTATCTGAACTCCTACTATAAAAAACAGCAAAAAGGGCTTCACACTCCTACTAAAGTTTATAGGTTAAAACTTAGATTATTAACAAACTGTGTATTTACAATAGTACAGAAGTCTTATTCAAACACCGGATGAATTCAGATCATCACCGTGTTTATTAGGTAGGAGCAGGAGAGATAAGAGAGGGTCTAACATGCTGCATCTTTCAAGATAACGGATGGGCTAATCAGAAGTCAGCAGCCGGTCCAATCAGGAATCAGCAGCAGGCTCATAAGAACTCCACTACACAGAATCTGGAAATAGTCATTATTATTTTAGCAAAATAAATCATCCACAAATGAACCAAAAACAACAAAATAATTACATTTTGCCAAAGTAAAAAAGCCTAACAATTTTACCAATGTCTTTTTATTTAAATGTATTTTTATTCATGTATTCTTCTTTCTATTTTAATCATCTAAAATGATGTGAAAAGAGTGAATATTATGGGATTGAGAGCATGTTCATGACTTTCAGGGTTTTTTATAGATTCTCTACACCAGGAGTCTCCAACCTTTTTTAGGATGAGAGCTACTTCCAAAAAATAAAACAAGTCGTGAGATACTTTTTCTCCTATTTGTTGTTTTTTGTTTTTGCAGTGTATATATTTAGCACATTTTAACATTATTATATGTTTAACTTTAACCTCCGTGGCGGAGTGGGAGTGGGTAGGGTGTGTATTTGGAATTGGGCCAGCTTTACACGCCCACTGTGTGCCTCTTCCTATTTATTGAGCTCCGTACTGTTGGCGTCTTTTCCTCAGAGCAAGTCGACCGAAGTCAGGGTAAGACATCTCCTTTCTCTCTGAGTTATTTGTATTACTGTTATTATTATTCGCTTTATGAACGGTCACATCATTTAATGAATCTATTGAATCGTGTTCAGGGACACGAAATGCACGTTTTTTTCGTGTCAGACAGCACGATTTTCAAAGTAATGCATTTCAATTGGAGGAATTTAAAAAATAAAATAAAATAAAAACATTAGAAAATAATACAGCTTCCGGCTTCCCGACTGTTTCCCTTCTCCTGGCAAATATCTCAAACCTTAATAAATAAAATCGACAATTGACCAACAATAACAATTTAACATAAAAAACAAGGATAAGTTTGACTCAATGTTATGTAAAGTACCTGTTATGGTTAAAGAAAACAAAAACAAAAAAAACATGATATATTATTATATATATATAATATAATACAGCTTCCGGCTTCCCGAGACACGAAAAATAGAACGGAAAAAATGTGTGTAGGAGACACGAACAATTCCTCGAATTGAAATGCATTACTTTGAAAATCGTGCTGTGTGTGTCCTTACATGCCAACCCAGTCTCACACATTTCCGTGAGACTGGGTTGGCATGTAACGACACACACAGTGGTCGAATGTAACCTGTTATTGGTGGAAGAAATACTAACTAACCCAAAAAACCAACAAACAAATAAAAACTTCTTATCTGAACTCCTACTATAAAAAACAGCAAAAAGGGCTTCACACTCCTACTAAAGTTTATAGGTTAAAACTTAGATTATTAACAAACTGTGTATTTACAATAGTACAGAAGTCTTATTCAAACACCGGATGAATTCAGATCATCACCGTGTTTATTAGGTAGGAGCAGGAGAGATAAGAGAGGGTCTAACATGCTGCATCTTTCAAGATAACGGATGGGCTAATCAGAAGTCAGCAGCCGGTCCAATCAGGAATCAGCAGCAGGCTCATAAGAACTCCACTACACAGAATCTGGAAATAGTCATTATTATTTTAGCAAAATAAATCATCCACAAATGAACCAAAAACAACAAAATAATTACATTTTGCCAAAGTAAAAAAGCCTAACAATTTTACCAATGTCTTTTTATTTAAATGTATTTTTATTCATGTATTCTTCTTTCTATTTTAATCATCTAAAATGATGTGAAAAGAGTGAATATTATGGGATTGAGAGCATGTTCATGACTTTCAGGGTTTTTTATAGATTCTCTACACCAGGAGTCTCCAACCTTTTTTAGGATGAGAGCTACTTCCAAAAAATAAAACAAGTCGTGAGATACTTTTTCTCCTATTTGTTGTTTTTTGTTTTTGCAGTGTATATATTTAGCACATTTTAACATTATTATATGTTTAACTTTAACCTCCGTGGCGGAGTGGGAGTGGGTAGGGTGTGTATTTGGAATTGGGCCAGCTTTACACGCCCACTGTGTGCCTCTTCCTATTTATTGAGCTCCGTACTGTTGGCGTCTTTTCCTCAGAGCAAGTCGACCGAAGTCAGGGTAAGACATCTCCTTTCTCTCTGAGTTATTTGTATTACTGTTATTATTATTCGCTTTATGAACGGTCACATCATTTAATGAATCTATTGAATCGTGTTCAGGGACACGAAATGCACGTTTTTTTTCGTGTCAGACAGCACGATTTTCAAAGTAATGCATTTCAATTGGAGGAATTTAAAAAATAAAATAAAATAAAAACATTAGAAAATAATACAGCTTCCGGCTTCCCGACTGTTTCCCTTCTCCTGGCAAATATCTCAAACCTTAATAAATAAAATCGACAATTGACCAACAATAACAATTTAACATAAAAAACAAGGATAAGTTTGACTCAATGTTATGTAAAGTACCTGTTATGGTTAAAGAAAACAAAAACAAAAAAAACATGATATATTATTATATATATATAATATAATACAGCTTCCGGCTTCCCGAGACACGAAAAATAGAACGGAAAAAATGTGTGTAGGAGACACGAACAATTCCTCGAATTGAAATGCATTACTTTGAAAATCGTACTGTGTGTGTCGTTACATGCCAACCCAGTCTCACGGAAATGTGTGAGACTGGGTTGGCATGTAAGGACACACACAGTGGTCGAATGTAACCTGTTATTGGTGGAAGAAATACTAACTAACCCAAAAAACCAACAAACAAATAAAAACTTCTTATCTGAACTCCTACTATAAAAAACAGCAAAAAGGGCTTCACACTCCTACTAAAGTTTATAGGTTAAAACTTAGATTATTAACAAACTGTGTATTTACAATAGTACAGAAGTCTTATTCAAACACCGGATGAATTCAGATCATCACCGTGTTTATTAGGTAGGAGCAGGAGAGATAAGAGAGGGTCTAACATGCTGCATCTTTCAAGATAACGGATGGGCTAATCAGAAGTCAGCAGCCGGTCCAATCAGGAATCAGCAGCAGGCTCATAAGAACTCCACTACACAGAATCTGGAAATAGTCATTATTATTTTAGCAAAATAAATCATCCACAAATGAACCAAAAACAACAAAATAATTACATTTTGCCAAAGTAAAAAAGCCTAACAATTTTACCAATGTCTTTTTATTTAAATGTATTTTTATTCATGTATTCTTCTTTCTATTTTAATCATCTAAAATGATGTGAAAAGAGTGAATATTATGGGATTGAGAGCATGTTCATGACTTTCAGGGTTTTTATAGATTCTCTACACCAGGAGTCTCCAACCTTTTTTAGGATGAGAGCTACTTCCAAAAAATAAAACAAGTCGTGAGATACTTTTTCTCCTATTTGTTGTTTTTTGTTTTTGCAGTGTATATATTTAGCACATTTTAACATTATTATATGTTTAACTTTAACCTCCGTGGCGGAGTGGGAGTGGGTAGGGTGTGTATTTGGAATTGGGCCAGCTTTACACGCCCACTGTGTGCCTCTTCCTATTTATTGAGCTCCGTACTGTTGGCGTCTTTTCCTCAGAGCAAGTCGACCGAAGTCAGGGTAAGACATCTCCTTTCTCTCTGAGTTATTTGTATTACTGTTATTATTATTCGCTTTATGAACGGTCACATCATTTAATGAATCTATTGAATCGTGTTCAGGGACACGAAATGCACGTTTTTTTCGTGTCAGACAGCACGATTTTCAAAGTAATGCATTTCAATTGGAGGAATTTAAAAAATAAAATAAAATAAAAACATTAGAAAATAATACAGCTTCCGGCTTCCCGACTGTTTCCCTTCTCCTGGCAAATATCTCAAACCTTAATAAATAAAATCGACAATTGACCAACAATAACAATTTAACATAAAAAACAAGGATAAGTTTGACTCAATGTTATGTAAAGTACCTGTTATGGTTAAAGAAAACAAAAACAAAAAAAACATGATATATTATTATATATATATAATATAATACAGCTTCCGGCTTCCCGAGACACGAAAAATAGAACGGAAAAAATGTGTGTAGGAGACACGAACAATTCCTCGAATTGAAATGCATTACTTTGAAAATCGTGCTGTGTGTGTCCTTACATGCCAACCCAGTCTCACACATTTCCGTGAGACTGGGTTGGCATGTAACGACACACACAGTGGTCGAATGTAACCTGTTATTGGTGGAAGAAATACTAACTAACCCAAAAAACCAACAAACAAATAAAAACTTCTTATCTGAACTCCTACTATAAAAAACAGCAAAAAGGGCTTCACACTCCTACTAAAGTTTATAGGTTAAAACTTAGATTATTAACAAACTGTGTATTTACAATAGTACAGAAGTCTTATTCAAACACCGGATGAATTCAGATCATCACCGTGTTTATTAGGTAGGAGCAGGAGAGATAAGAGAGGGTCTAACATGCTGCATCTTTCAAGATAACGGATGGGCTAATCAGAAGTCAGCAGCCGGTCCAATCAGGAAATATTATTTTAGCAAAATAAATCCTCCACAAATGAACCAAAAAAAAAAGAAAAGTATTTTTTTTATTTTTTAGGCCAGAGAGGGCCTTTAGATAGATAGAATCTGAGGGATGAAACCCTCTGTAACATAGACACACAGTGAAATGTGCCTGTTTGTCTACTATAGGACGCTTCAACATTGCCGTATCATGTACTTCAGGATAAAGCAGGGGGGTCCAAACCTTTTTCACTGAGGGCCACATACAGAAAAGCATACAAAGGGCTGGGCCTCTCACTAGGGATAGTGGTGGTCTAATGGATAGTGAGTTGGGCTGAAGATCGGGAGGTTGTGAGTTCAAATCCCACCTGGAACACCACCACTAGTGTGCCCTTGAGTAAGGCACTTAGTCCTTAGTTACTCCAGGGAGAATGTCCCTGCAATTGTTAATTGTAAATCGCTTTGGATAAAAGCGTCAGCTAAATGAAATGTAATGTAAAGGAGAGGTATACTGCCTCATAGGTTAAATTATAATTCAGCAAAATCAATCAAATGTTGGTAAATTATGCTTTCAGGGTTTCAGTCAGCTCATCCCTTAAATCAGAAGCCTCAGATTGATTATAATAAGGGGAAATATGAAGGGTCTATTCATAGCTTGTTATGGAAATAAAACAAAGGTCTGTTAGAACATGTTCTCAGCTCTAATTGGCTGAATGTATTTTAATAGTGGGCTTATTAACACATGCAAACTACTGTGTAATATAGGCTCACATATATATTTAAGAAGTACAATATAAGAGAAGCACGAGTTTCAGGTGGCGCCATATACCATTATACTTTAAGAACTTGCTGAGGGCCGATTAGAAATGGACAACGGGCCACATTTGGTCCCCGAGCCGTAGTTTGGACACCCCTGGGTTAAAGCATAATTGCTTACTTTGCATATCGTCACCAGCTTTAACAACCTCCACTTGCCAAAGAAACTGTTCAAGGGCACCACGGCAGGGCCCAGGAGGTGAACTGGGACCTCTCCAAGTACCAGTCCACACTCCATATTTAGGTCTGTTCGGGGACTTGAACCAGCAACCCTACGGTTCACAATCTTTTTTTATTTTTGATCTTTTATTGTAAATTTTGACGTTTTTACACTTTATTTACAATGCTACATAATATTTACAAGTATTTGAAATGTGTCCTTTATGGACACATTTAATCATTGTAATAAACATAAATCATAAAAATAATAAACACTCCAACCCCAAAACTTAATTACGAAAACCAATAAACAAGAAAAACATAACAAATCTTCATCGAACAATTCAATGTTACGGCTCCGAGTCAAAGTCTGTATTAACTGAGCCACGGACTTTAGAGATGTAAAGGGATGAAAGGGGCAGATAGAGGACATGACTTACTAGGCAGCGGTTTAAGCATGTCCTTCTTTCTTTACATGTGACCTGCTGACATACTTTTATTTTGTTGTTGTCGAGAACTAAAACATTTTTTTTTTTTTATTTCCGTGTTGTAGGCGGTCAACTATTCGTCCCTTTGTGCTCTACCTGGCAACGCCCGACACAGAGAGAGGAGCCGCTGAACCGGCTTGGTAAGTTTCTGCAATCGTTCTGGAACCTTCCAGTTCTTCTGGGGAACGCTCATTTCTATTTCAAAGATTCAAAGGCTTAGATACAGTTAACTTCTTTAGTCCCAGGCTCCTCCAACAATACAACATAAATATATACAAGACCAGAGGTGGGAAGTAACGGAGTACAAATACTTTGTTACTGTACTTAAGTACATGTTTCTGGTATCAGTACTTTACTCCACTACTTTTTTTTCTGACGACTTTTTACTTTTGCTTCTTACATGTTGAACCCAAATACCTGTACTTTCTACTTCTTACATTTTGAACACAAATACCTGTACTTTCTACTTCTTACATGTTGAACCCAAATACCTGTACTTTCTACTTCTCACATTTTGAACACAAATACCTGTACTTTCTACTTCTTACATTTTGAACACAAATACCTGTACTTTCTACTTCTTACATGTTGAACCCAAATACCTGTACTTTCTACTTCTTACATTTTGAACACAAATACCTGTACTTTCTACTTCTTACATGTTGAACCCAAATACCTGTACTTTCTACTTCTCACATTTTGAACAAAATACCTGTACTTTCTACTTCTTACATTTTGAACCCAAATACCTGTACTTTCTACTTCTTACATGTTGAACCCAAATACCTGTACTTTCTACTTCTTACATTTTGAACACAAATACCTGTACTTTCTACTTCTTACATGTTGAACACAAATACCTGTACTTTCTACTTCTTACATGTTGAACACAAATACCTGTACTTTCTACTTCTTACATGTTGAACTCAAATACCTGTACTTTCTACTTCTTACATTTTGAACCCAAATACCTGTACTTTCTACTTCTTACATGTTGAACACAAATACCTGTACTTTCTACTTCTCACATTTTGAACAAAATACCTGTACTTTCTACTTCTTACATTTTGAACAAAATACCTGTACTTTCTGCTTCTTACATGTTGAACCCAAATACCTGTACTTTCTACTTCTTACATTTTGAACACAAATACCTGTACTTTCTACTTCTTACATGTTGAACACAAATACCTGTACTTTCTACTTCTTACATGTTGAACCCAAATACCTGTACTTTCTACTTCTTACATTTTGAACACAAATACCTGTACTTTCTACTTCTTACATGTTGAACACAAATACCTGTACTTTCTACTTCTTACATGTTGAACACAAATACCTGTACTTTCTACTTCTTACATGTTGAACTCAAATACCTGTACTTTCTACTTCTTACATTTTGAACCCAAATACCTGTACTTTCTACTTCTTACATGTTGAACACAAATACCTGTACTTTCTACTTCTCACATTTTGAACAAAATACCTGTACTTTCTACTTCTTACATTTTGAACAAAATACCTGTACTTTCTACTTCTTACATGTTGAACCCAAATACCTGTACTTTCTACTTCTTACATTTTGAACACAAATACCTGTACTTTCTACTTCTTACATGTTGAACACAAATACCTGTACTTTCTACTTCTTACATGTTGAACACAAATACCTGTACTTTCTACTTATTACATGTTGAACCCAAATACCTGTACTTTCTACTTCTTACATTTTGAACACAAATACCTGTACTTTCTACTTCTTACATGTTGAACACAAATACCTGTACTTTCTACTTCTTACATGTTGAACACAATTACCTGTACTTTCTACTTCTTACATGTTGAACTCAAATACCTGTACTTTCTACTTCTTACATGTTGAACTCAAATACCTGTACTTTCTACTTCTTACATGTTGAACACAAATACCTGTACTTTCTACTTCTTACATGTTGAACCCAAATACCTGTACTTTCTACTTCTTACATGTTGAACTCAAATACCTGTACTTTCTACTTCTTACATTTTGAACCCAAATACCTGTACTTTCTACTTCTTACATGTTGAACACAAATACCTGTACTTTCTACTTCTCACATTTTGAACAAAATACCTGTACTTTCTACTTCTTACATTTTGAACAAAATACCTGTACTTTCTACTTCTTACATTTTGAACCCAAATACCTGTACTTTCTACTTCTCACATTTTTAACAAAATACCTGTACTTTCTACTTCTTACATTTTGAACCCAAATACCTGTACTTTCTACTTCTTACATGTTGAACCCAAATACCTGTACTTTCTACTTCTTACATTTTGAACACAAATACCTGTACTTTCTACTTCTTACATGTTGAACACAAATACCTGTACTTTCTACTTCTTACATGTTGAACACAAATACCTGTACTTTCTACTTCTTACATGTTGAACTCAAATACCTGTACTTTCTACTTCTTACATGTTGAACACAAATACCTGTACTTTCTACTTATTACATGTTGAACCCAAATACCTGTACTTTCTACTTCTTACATTTTGAACACAAATACCTGTACTTTCTACTTCTTACATTTTGAACACAAATACCTGTACTTTCTACTTCTTACATGTTGAACACAAATACCTGTACTTTCTACTTCTTACATGTTGAACACAAATACCTGTACTTTCTACTTCTTACATTTTGAACAAAATACCTGTACTTTCTACTTCTTACATTTTGAACCCAAATACCTGTACTTTCTACTTCTCACATTTTGAACAAAATACCTGTACTTTCTACTTCTTACATTTTGAACCCAAATACCTGTACTTTCTACTTCTTACATGTTGAACCCAAATACCTGTACTTTCTACTTCTTACATTTTGAACACAAATACCTGTACTTTCTACTTCTTACATGTTGAACACAAATACCTGTACTTTCTACTTCTTACATGTTGAACACAAATACCTGTACTTTCTACTTCTTACATGTTGAACTCAAATACCTGTACTTTCTACTTCTTACATGTTGAACACAAATACCTGTACTTTCTACTTCTTACATTTTGAACCCAAATACCTGTACTTTCTACTTCTCACATTTTGAACAAAATACCTGTACTTTCTACTTCTTACATGTTGAACACAAATACCTGTACTTTCTACTTCTTACATGTTGAACACAAATACTTGTACTTTCTACTTCTTACATGTTGAACACAAATACCTGTACTTTCTACTTCTCACATTTTCCAAACAGGCTGGTTCCTTTAGTTTGAATGTGTGTTTGGTGGCGTGATCATTATTATTTAGAGTCATTGCGTGCCTATTGATTTGAACACGATCCGTGTATCCATCATTTCCTGGTCTTCTCTAAAGAAGAGGGACCAATGAAAACGTTGTCATGTTGCCGTTGTTCAGCATGGAAACATTCATTAGCTAACAATGACATTATTGTTCTATTAATATAAAGGGAGGTCAGGTACTCTTTAAAACAGCTGCTAGTTATGGGTACTTTTTACTTGAGTACATTTTAAAGCCACAAGTATTTTGAAACACGAGTATCTGTACTTCTACTTGAGTAAAGGATGTGTGCACTTTTGCCCTCTCTGTGCAAGACATAAAACAATAAAACAATAAAAATAGTGCAAGTAGTAAATTTGTCCTGAAGTGAGTACACAATCTATTGCATTATAACCAATTCAGTTTTAGGAGACATAGAAACAAAATTATGAAATGCAATATTTAATAATATATTTATAGATCCTTCATTAATGTATTCATTTGTTTATTTAGCAGAACTGCTCCTCATCCAGAGCACGGTCTGCAGAAGGTGACCAACATGGCGGATGCTGCAGGATCTGAGGTGAGAGTTAAGGCATCCTGCGCCTCAGGAGAGTTAGTTCCTCGTTAGCTGAAAAGAGTGACCAGTTCTCTCAGGAGACCACCAGTTCACTGCAGACTGCTGGGTCTGTAGATGCTGATCAGTGACAGCTTCACCCGAGTGTCCAAACATACGGCCTCAGGTCCGATGTTACGATAACAAATCGATTCAGGACCTTCTTCTAGGGTGCTAGCTTCAAAAACTATTTGGGGTCCAACTGTCTTTTTTATGAAATGGCAAAAAGACCATTTGTATACAATATTTCTCACCACATGTTACCGTGAACTCTTAAATATGTTTTTCTCACATGCCTCTATAGTAAACAAAGAATCAAAACACGGGGAACTGATTGATGATTGAAGTACATTCTGGCTGCATTTTAACAACAGAAAAACTAAATGAAAATATTTGTTAACTTACACAAAAACTTGTGCAGGGTTACTTGTCACAAATAAGTAATAATAAAACTCCTTTAAGGTCAAATCTGTTCACACATGGATTTGATGAGTGACGTCCATTACTGTAACAACAATACATCTGAATCTTTTTCCTCATTTTGCAGACTGGTAGAAAACCAAAGAGCATGAAGAAGGAGAACGATGCTGTTCCCACTGTGAGTAAACTGATACACTAAACACACAGAAATTCTGCATTTTAATTTTTTAATTTTTAAGTGACCAGTTCTCTCAGGAGACCACCAGTTCACTGCAGACTGCTGGGTCTGTAGATGCTGATCAGTGACAGCTTCACCGAGTGTCCAAACATACGGCCTCAGGTCCGATGTTACGATAACAAATCGATTAGGGCCTTCTCCTCGGGTGCTCTGGCACCATGGACACGTACGAGCATCCTTATGTTCGAACATGGTGTTTGTTATGGCCAATCCATGACTAGCACAGAAGTCCAGTAACAAACCAAAAGTAAAAGTAAATGTGATTTGATGAGTGAAGTCCTTTATTGTAACAACAATACATCTATACCTTTTTGTTCTCATGTTGCAGACTGATCCATGTGCAAGCGGAATAAAGAAGGAGAAGGATGCTGATCCCCCTGTGAGTAAACTGTGATTGATGAACATTCTGCATTTTTATTTTATCAACAAGTTGATGCTACTTTAATTGTCTTCCTCTGGTTTTCCTGCAGGCCGGACATTCACATGGCTTCAGAGTGAAATTCCCTTCTGACCCCAATGAATACACTATAGACTGTGATCAAGCCGGAACAGTGCTGCGGGCGATAAAAACATGTAACAAATATAATACAAAGTTTTCAGATGAAAACCTTGTGATTCAGCTGAGTAAAAATGATAGGAAATATGCTATTGCAACACATTTCCCTTGTACTTGTATCATGGAAGATGAATTACTGATCTTATCGCATAAGAAAGAAAAGATTGAAGAGACCCAAGGCCAAAATGAGGAACCAATACAGTCAAAGAAAATGTATTCTGTCTTCTATATTGAAAAAGTAGGAGGAATAAACACCATAACAAAGCCGTTTATCAGAAGCAATGCTTTCAAATGCTTCAAGTACCTGTGTGTGTATGCGGAGAAGGGTAGGAAGATGACAGTGGAGGAGGCTCTGGAAAGAGATGGACGCTTCATTGATGATCTTGGCAACTTCACTCTGTCTAACAACACAGACCCAAAGATAATAACTGAATGTACCCAACCTGTTGACAACCTGCATGGAAAAGAATTCAAGTTGTGTCTTGAGCGTAACAAAAAAGCAGACGGAGCAGAACTAAAGCAGAGAATAGAAGTTATCCAAAAAACAATGGAAAACAATAAATTCAGTGTCAAAGATGTAGTGGATCATGTCAGAGCAGAGAACAGATCCGAGGGAAAGAGTGGTCAGAGTGGCAGCAGTGTAGACGTTGAAGAGATTTATGATTTACTGCGGGAGCAGTGTGCAGGTCTGACTGAACTGATGATGAGGAGATTCCCAGGTGACTCTTATCAGGAGGAACTGGACCTGAGAAAGGAAGACTTTGGAAAGATCCAACAGTCGTTCAGCGACGTTCACAGAGTCAGAGAGCTGATAAAACAGGGCGAGTCAGTTTGTAAAGTGGTTGTTGAAGGTTATTGTACAGGAACAGGGTTTGTGTTGTTTGACAACTACATCTTGACTAACGCACACCTGTTTGACGATTGTGTTGAAGAAGGACACAAAAAGCTGAAGGATGATATAGAGGTGTATGTTCTCTTTAACTTTGAAGAAGAGCACATAAATCACCACTACTTTAAGCTGGCTCACCGTAACATCTGCTACTGTCATGATGACCTTGATTATGCCATACTTGAGCTTGAGCCTGTCAGCCAGAAATACAACCCAGACACAAATAAAGTCACAGAAGAAAAGATGCCACCAGGGCTCCTGGAGAGGTTTGGTCCAATGCCTGAGAGTGGTGGAGCCTGTCTTATTGGTCACCCAGATGGAGAAGTGAAACAACTGGATCCAACATCTATCATTGAGATAGAAAACAGGGAGACGGCTGTTGATGATCATTTAGAGCCATACAAAGACACTTTATTCACTCTCTACTCAATCTGTAACCTTATCAAAAAGCAAGGCATTGAAAGCATATTGGTAGGTGGAAACAAAGAGAACGTAACAACCTACAACACCTTCATGTATCACGGCTCCTCTGGATCCCCAGTGTTTGATGCTCAGTGCAGGGTTTTTGGTTTGCACACCTCAGGATTCGTTTACGATTTTCCAAAGGACACTAAGAGTGTGATAGAGTATGCCCAACCTCTGCTAACTATCTTTGAACACTTTGTGAGTAAACTGAGGGAGCCTGGGAATGAGGAGCTGTTGAAGAGAGTTAAGAAAGTAGCAAAGGGAAACTCAGACCTAAAAAAGATACTCAACCCTGACTCTGATGACTCTGATGACTCTGATGACTCTGGTGACTGATTAGAAAGATTAGATAATCTGGGGCTAAACACACAAGGCTGGACAGCTTCTATTCCCATGCATCATTATACTTAAGATCTGTTTTCTAGTATGTGCATCCTGTTTTATATTGACTTCTCTGTTAGTCTGTAACAGCCAATTGTACTTTTTTCTATATCCACATTTCTTGTAAGCATTACTCTTTTATTTTATCATAGTTTTTTAGTATTTCATTATCTATATTTGTTCTTTTCTTTACAACGTCCTTACTTTACTGTGTTCATGTATGCACCATTCTACACTTAATTAACCTTATTGGCAATAAACCAAATTCTGATGTTGATTGTACTGCATACTCACGGTTTGTGGATTATATGAATGTATATTTTATGTATTTTTTTGAGGCAGTGAACTGAATGCCATATTGTTCATATATTTTCTCTTGTAACATGTAATGGAAGCTCCTAAAGTGTGAGCTGATATTTGTTTTTATTTCAATGTCATATATTTCTCCCGTGGTAAATGTGTTTATTCTGTCCTGGCTTTCCCTACCAATTTATTCTGTGTTTTATTAAAAGTTGATCTCTTCAAAATCTGTTTCTTGTCTCGGATTTTTTAAATGTAGGGTTATGTTATTCGATTTATGTAGCCCCGCCCCTTTTCCCGCTTCCGGTGGGTAAAAGAACCAAAAGACCAAAAATAGAGCCGAAAAACAGTTTCTTTGGCAAGTGGAGGTTGATAAAGCTGGTGACGCTATGCAAAGTAAGCAATTATACTTTAACCTGAAGTACTAACACATAATACGGCAATGCTGAAGTCCTAGAGCAGGAGACGGTGAATTGTTCGCACCTTTTTCACCCTTCAGTCTTAACAGGAGATAACATTTTATTTCCATATGTGCTTCAATAACAACCCGGGACTTCTCTTTGCTGCAGGTACAATGAAGATTTAGGGTGCCATCACTTTGTGTTTTCTCACCTGAAAAAGGTTATGATGTTACTGCTCAAATGTGGTTAATCAATAAGTACCGGTCAGAGAAAAAACACACTATAATCAGTGTTTTAGAGTGTGTGATAATATACATAATACAGGAATAAAACAGGCCAGAGTAATGTCCCAACACCACAGTGTAGCAAGGACTCTGTTAGCCGAACAAGCATCCTTCAAGCCATATTTGAATAAATGTGTCTTTCAAACAGGCTTGATATGGGGAGTCATACATTTACCATACCTTTCAGAGCTGAAGAAAACTACAGCAACATTTGTTCCATAAAGAACACATTTATCATAGGATAAGAAGGAAGTGGTGTCAAAAGCACTCAAATCCTAACTCAAGAAAAAAGCACTCACAAAACATTACTAGTAAAAGTCCTGGATGTAAAATGTTATCTTAGTCAAAGTACAGAAGTATTATGAGCTGAAGTTTATTTAGGACCTAACGAACTGTAAGCCTACAGCTCCCACTAGTGGCCATTCACCCTCCCCTTCACCTTTAATGAGAAACAACAACAATATATTTTCTGGAATTATCACAGCCTTTTTATTTCTCATTGTCATTAAAACAAACACCTGCAAAGTAATATTTGAGCCAAACAAACCCTTGGCTCTTCCAGAATGATCTGATTGATGCAGATTGTTGATCACGTGAAGACCAAAAGGTGTATCTGTAATGGGACGTGACAAAAACTCATCATTTCTAAAGCAACTCAGCAGAATCAAGCATGATCACCCGATTGACGGTTTCAGAAATGTACACCTTAACCGTTGTGACCAATGCGGGTATTCATAGGGCTTTTGCCATACTTTTCATTGGGCAACACTTACGCACTCTAAAATGCAAATGGAAGTACAGAACTTATGTCTTTCCCTCTCAACCCTCCTCCTCCTCTTCTTCGTCTCTCAGAGCGTTGCGGACTTTCCTCCAGAATTCCCCGCTTCGTTCCTCCTCCCGAGGCCACTCCAGGTAGGTGGTGGAGCTCATGAGTTTGCGCAGTTTGCAGAAGCGTTTCGGTATGTCGTCCTTGGACAGCGGTTCGAGCAGGATCAAGATGGCCGCGTCACTGCCGGTCTCCCCATCGAAAAGCTGGAAGTGGGAGAAGTCGAGCTCGTAGCGGCACCACTCGGACTGGACGAAGTTCTCGGACAGAATGAAGACGGTCCGCCGGCTGCGCTCCATGGCGCTCATGATGTTGTCCACAATCCAGTGACCGGGAAGGAAGTCCCGTTTGTGGAGGCACAGGGTCAGAGGTCGGGGATTCAGAGAGTCTCCATCATTCTCCCTGTAAGAGTAAAAACCAGACAGCAGGTCATGTTTCTAAACAGAATTAGGTTGATGGTCTGTTTGTCAGCAGTTCATAGAGTCCTCTTGTGAACCCTTAAATGTTGAGTACACCAAAGTTTTATGCTAGAAATGTTTAGTAGGGTCTCCAGCACATAGAAACTGCCGGATGCTAACCTGCATATGTTGGGCAATTTGCACAATTAGGATAAGTTGGGTGATTAGCATTGTAGCCTATGCAGACAATAGTTTAAGAATGGCTTGGCCGATTTGGAAATGTTTCAGGATCCACAATCGCTGTTTTAACCAGAAAGTGGCCATATTTGTACTCCAGGTGGACTGATTTTGATAAATTTTAGATTTGTTTTCTAGTCGAATGCACTTTTTGTAAGTCGCTTTGAATAGAGACATTATCTTAAAGGTCCCCTATTATACTGTTTTTAATCAATATATTATAGGTCTCAGATATATACACAACATGTCTCTGAAGTGTTTGGCTCGAAACACCAAACAGATCATTGCAGCATCCCATAATCCCCTCTGTTTCAGCCCTGTTTCCAAAGTGCTGATTCTCTGTCTGTTACTTTAGATGAAAATAAGGAGCCCCTCCCCACGCCCCTCTGAGAGGTATTTGGTTAAAAAGAACTCAATGGTGCTCTAGGAGGAGATTCAGGTGATAAGGTGGGGGGGGGGGGGTTACCTTGGTTGGTGATTGGCTAATGGTTACACAAGACAAATCGTTATGACACATAAAGTGGCCAAAATCTGATCAGCTCAGGTGTTTATATAAAATCAGTACAAAAAGAGAGAGAATCTTTGTTCCTGAAACTTTCAGAATCTTTTCACACAGAGGGGACACATGTTGATGTAGAAGAGACATGAAAAAATGGATTTTGCATAACAGTTGACCATTAATTAAAGTCTAGTGTGTTTGACGTTACCTCGGCTCCTCCAGCTCGGGTACCAAGAAGTTTTCCACCCAGCTAGCATCTCTCTCGCTGTATGACACGAAGGCGTCGTAAGATAGCAGCTCTTCTCTTGGTTGTCGCCGCCGGGAGCTTCTCTTGGCCTTTAGCCACGCCCACATCATCCTGAGATACCAGAACGCATGAAGGCGCCACAGCAGGACACACACCAAGACGCCAATGATCAACGCCACCACACAACTCACAGACACAAACAAAACCCGCCGGCACACAACCACAGAGAGCCTCACCCGCCCCGCTGGCTCCCCCTGCAGGTAGAGAGGGGAATCGCAGACGTAGGCGTCCTCTCCGTCTGATAAATGCACATCTTCGCCTCCTTTAATGGCCGACTGGAGGAAGTAGACAAAGTCGCAGGAGCAGACAAATTTGTTTTGGCCCGCCCAGAGGTCCTGGAGGCGTCTGTATGCCTGGAGGTCCGAACGGGTGAACATGTTCAGGGTGTTTGACTGTGGAAGAGCAAGCAGGGGGTCACACTTATGGTAGGTTATTTTTTCAGAGTTTATTTATTCATTTATTCAACAGGGACAGTGCACATTAATCTACATTTCTGTAAATGTGAGTAAGCCAAGAGGCTATTTTTCATCTGTAGTCCCTGGACAGATTTCACACCAGAAGCAAAGTCAATGCAGAGAAGCGGATCGTCGGGAATGGTTAAACCCCAGTACAGTACATGAAGCTTTATGTATCTATGTGCAGTAATCATTTTACTACTGTTGTATACCACACTTAATATTCCATAATTGTACACTATCTTCATTGTATAAATACTGCAGCTTCTTACTCTCTACCCGAATGTGTACTTCTGTCAATTGTAATAATTCTTTTTATGAATGTGCATGCCTTTTATTTAAGAGTCTCTTTCTACAGTGTGCTGTAACAACGTACATTTCCCCTTTGTGGGACGAATATAGGAATTCTGATTCATATTTTTATAGTAACTATTTAAACCCTGCATGCAATACATTCGTTTGGCCACTACTATCATTTGGCGCATTCCTCGGGGCTTGAAGAATACAAAAAGAAATATTAAGATTGGTCCTCACCTGTATGGTCAGTGTTTGCAGGTTTGGGAACATCCATCCAGGGGGAAGGCTCAGTAACTTGTTTCCAGAGAGATGGAGCTCTCTCAGGGAAGGAAGGATCAGAATGAAGGCTTTTAGATCGTTGTTGCTCAGATCCAAAACCTGTGGAGGATAAAAAACAATGATGGACAAAGTCTTAAGATCTATTGCTTAAGTACAATAAGCAGTACTGTGTCAGAATATCTGTTATTGTCATCATTCAAAGACATAACAAAATTCCGTTGGCATCTCTCACTTCAGTAATAGAAATACACACTAAATTAGATCTCAATTTACATATTTACACATTTTACAGGCTATAAACTGTCAATATTCAAAACTACAAAAGTGTAAATATAATTGTGTTCCTAAATAGATGCTAAAAATGTCCATAAATGCTAGATAAATATTGATGAATGTTTGTGGTGACGGTCTTTGAGGGGTGGAGGTGTGTTTATGTTCACAGCTGTTGTAGTGTGTTCTGTATTGGATTACATGGACTCTCTCTCAGTACCTCCAGAGTTTCGGGTAGACAGGGGGAGATGGTTGTGAGTTTGGCCCAGGAGATGTTGAGGTATCGCAGGGTGGAAGGCCAGGAGCAGCCCCCGGGCATGGAGATGAATCCATTCCTGCTGACGTCCAGGTGGGTCAGTTTGGAGAGATTTGTCACCAGCCGGCTCACCGTGGACAAAGACTGCAGAGAAGCAACGTCGTCTTAAAATCTGGGGCCTTATTTTTCAAAGTATTCTTATATTGAAAGGAGTACTGCTAATATGCTGCCCCTTATGCTTGGAATAATGTACAGAAGGAGCTGAAACTCTCAGATTGTATCACTATGGGTGAATTCAGGTCCATCTTAAAGGACAGAGAACAAGAATCCATTGGTCGATGTGATTGCTCTTATTTCCCATAATTGAAGTCGTTTTTAAATTGTGCCAGTTTTTTATGTTTTATAATAGTTTCTATTATTTGCATATTGACTGGTTAAAGGTGGGGTAGGTAAGTTTGAGAAACCGGCTCGAGATACACTTTTTGTTATATTCCATGGAATGCTCTTAACATCCCGATAGCAATGAATATCTGAAGTGCTTTGACAAGAAATCCATAATAAAATGTAATCTGTGGAAGCCGTAGTACTGTAAAAAGCACGACCAATCATCTGAGCCGGCCCGGCTAAAATAACTGGATGGCCGACCTGCCTGTCAGCCTTCCATCTGTGCACAAACTTATCTCGTGCCCTCATTGGTCATGTGCGCGTTCGTGTGTGTTGGAAGAGGGGCTCTGTAAGGAAGTGGCAGATTTTCTCCGGTTGTGTATTTTCAAATTCTAGCGATCTCGAGCCGGTTTCTCAAACTTACCTACCCCACCTTTAATGTGCCATTTCATTTGTGTTTTACGACCGTCTGCCTGTATTGTCTTTGTTCATTTGTTTTAACATTGTTCATTTTGCCCTCTTGGCCAGGTCGCTCTGGAAGAAGAGATTTTGATCTCAATGAGACTTTTACCTGGTTAAATAAAGGATATATAGTACTACACAGCCTACGATTACCATGGTAAATATTATGGTAAATTAGGAATTATGGACCTTCTTTGTAATTATAAGGTGGTATCAATGTTGTATAAAACCACAACAATGGTAAATGTTGAATGGACTGTACTTATATAGCACTTTACGACCCCTTAAAGCTCTTTAGATGCTACATGTCATCATTCATACACCGTTGGACATCCGTAGCACCTCGGGGGTTAAGTATCTTGCCCAAGGATACGTCAACAACCTTCTGATTGAAAGACGATTGCACTCCCTCGCAGCCACAGTCAAGATTCAAGGCTTTTATCATCATTTTTACATAGCTAGAGTGTAGAAATGTCAATGAAAATACCAGGTCACCGGCTCCTCCAACAGAGCAACATGATAAAACAGATAAAATAGTGCAAGTAAATACAAATCAAATAGAGTAGAAATAGTGCAATAAGAGTCTATATACAAGTAATTGGAATATGATATATTAGATAAATAATTTGTAAGTTACAAACAGATGAATGTTTATGGAAGATCTTTCAAAAGTTCAGGTGTTCCACAAGGGATAAAAAACAATAACTTGCAGTGAAACAGCGACACCTGAGAGTGCAATCACTACTTGGAAACACTTTAGATCGACATTTAGGTACAATGAAAGTGCCTCAAAATAATCAATGCAAATGTTCATTGCCCAGAATATTAACAGTTGGCAAAGGAAAATCAGAACATAAGAGTTTCCCTCAATGATACGTCTTTAGGTCTAAATGGAGGTACCTTCAGAGCATTTCCGCTGACGTTTAAGACTCGGAGGTCCTTCAGCGTGCCGTCACCATTGCACAGCGTCTCAGTCAGTGTCAGGTCGGTCAGCAGGTTGTCGGACAGGTCCAGGTATTGAAGGTTCAGCAGCAAGTAGGTTGTGGCACAGGGCATCACAAACACCTAGAGTGGAAAAGCTCATTTGAATTACATCCCCGAATTGTATTCTTAAAGGTCCCCTATTATACTCAGTGATGGCAAAAGTACACACATCCTTTACTCAAGTAGAAGTACAGATACTCGTGTTTAAAAATACTCTGGTAAAAGTAGAAGTACTGACTAAACTTCTTTACTCAAGTAGAAGTACAGATACTCGTGTTTAAAAATACTCTGGTAAAAGTAGAAGTACTGCCTAAACTTCTTTACTCAAGTGAAAGTAAAGAGGCTTTGAAATGTACTTCAGTAAAAAGTACCCATAACTAGCAGCTGTTTTAAAGAGTACCTGACCTCCCTTTATATTAATAGAACAATAATGTCATTGTTAGCTAATGAATGTTTCCATGCTGAACAACGGCAACATGACAACGTTTTCATTGGTCCCTCTTCTTTAGAGAAGACCAGGAAGTGATGGATACACGGATCGTGTTCAAATCAATAGGCACGCAATGACTCTAAATAATAATGATCACGCCACCAAACACACATTCAAACTAAAGGAACCAGCCTGTTTGGGAAATGTGAGAAGTAGAAAGTACAGGTATTTGTGTTCAACATGTAAGAAGTAGAAAGTACATGTATTTGTGTTCAACATGTAAGAAGTAGAAAGTACAGGTATTAGTGTTCAACATGTAAGAAGTAGAAAGTACAGGTATTTGTGTTCAACATGTAAGAAGTAGAAAGTACAGGTATTTGTGTTCAACATGTAAGAAGTAGAAAGTACAGGTATTTGTGTTCAACATGTAAGAAGTAGAAAGTACAGGTATTTGTGTTCAAAATGTAAGAAGTAGAAAGTACAGGTATTTGTGTTCAAAATGTAAGAAGTCAAAGTAAAAAGTCGTCATAAAAATAAGTAGTGGAGTAAATATACTGATACCAGAAACATTTTCATAAAGGTCCCCTATTATACGGTTTCTCATCAATATATCACAGGTCTCAGATATATACAGAACCTGTCTCTGATTGGCTGAAACACCAAACAGATCATTGCAGCATTACCCATAATCCCCTCTGTTTCAGCCCTGTTTCCAAAGTGCTGATTCTCTGTCTGTTACTTTAGATGAAAATAAGGAGCCCCTCCCCACGCCCCTCTGAGAGACATTTGGTTAAAAAGAACACAATGGTGCTCTAGGAGGAGATTCAGGTGATAAGGGGGGGGGGTTACCTTGGTTGCTGATTGGCTAATCGTTATGACATCATAAAGTGGCCAAAATCTGATCTGCTCATTTTCAGACAGGTTTTTATATAAATGGATCAGGACAAAAAGAGAGAGAATCTTTGGTCCTGAAACTTTCAGAGCCTCTTTACACAGAGGGGACACATGTTGATGTAGAAGAGACATGAAGAAGAGGGGACACATGTTGATGTAGAAGAGACATGAAGAAGAGGGGACACATGTTGATGTAGAAGAGACATGAAGAAGAGGGGACACATGTTGATGTAGAAGAGACATGAAGAAGAGGGGACACATGTTGATGTAGAAGAGACATGAAGAAGAGGGGACACATGTTGATGTAGAAGAGACATGAAGAAGAGGGGACACATGTTGATGTAGAAGAGACATGAAGAAGAGGGGACACATGTTGATGTCGAAGAGACATGAAGAAGAGGGGACACATGTTGATGAAGAAGAGACATGAAGAAGAGGGGACACATGTTGATGAAGAAGAGACATGAAGAAGAGGGGACACATGTTGATGAAGAAGAGACATGAAGAAGAGGGGACACATGTTGATGTAGAAGAGACATGAAGAAGAGGGGACACATATTGATGAAGAAGAGACATGAAGAAGAGGGAACACATGTTGATGTAGAAGAGACATGAAGAAGAGGGGACACATGTTGATGAAGAAGAGACATGAAGAAGAGGGGACACATGTTGATGTCGAAGAGACATGAAGAAGAGGGGACACATGTTGATGAAGAAGAGACATGAAGAAGAGGGGACACATGTTGATGTAGAAGAGACATGAAGAAGAGGGGACACATATTGATGAAGAAGAGACATGAAGAAGAGGGAACACATGTTGATGTAGAAGAGACATGAAGAAGAGGGGACACATGTTGATGTAGAAGATACATGAAGAAGAGGGGACACATGTTGTTGTAGAAGAGACATGAAGAAGAGGGGACACATGTTGATGTAGAAGAGACATGAAGAAGAGGGGACACAGGTTGATGTAGAAGAGACATGAAGAAGAGGGGACACATGTTGATGTAGAAGAAACATGAAGAAGAGGGGACCCATGTTGATGTAGAAGAGACATGAAGAAGAGGGGACACATGTTGATGTCGAAGAGACATGAAGAAGAGGGGACACATGTTGATGTAGAAGAGACATGAAGAAGAGGGGACACATGTTGATGTAGAAGAGACATGAAGAAGAGGGGACACATGTTGATGTAGAAGAGACATGAAGAAGAGGGGACACATGTTGACGTAGAAGAGACATGAAGAAGAGGGGACACATGGTGATGTAGAAGAGACATGAAGAAGAGGGGACACATGGTGATGTAGAAGAGACATGAAGAAGAGGGGACACATGTTGATGTAGAGGAGACATGAAGAAGAGGGGACACATGTTGATGTAGAAGAGACATGAAGAAGAGGGGACACATGTTGATGTAGAAAAGACATGGAAACGTGGATTTTGCATAATAGGTGACCTTTAACATTCAGACAACCCCATGTGACAGATACCTGAGAGTTTATGATGGACACCTTTCTGGGGTACTGCAGCAAAAAACCCAGCTGCAGCAACGAGCTGAACTGAAAGACATTCAGCACCACAACGTTTCGTAGGAAGAACTCATCGATGTTTTTATGATCGGTCAAACTGGCTTTCTCCCACCTAACACCAACCAACAAACAACATTATCAAGCAGTCATTCACCCAACAGTTGATCACTAGTATATTAAGCGGCTTTTATTTATAATTACAATATATATAAACTCACTCATGGGTATAAACCCAATAATGGGTGACAGTACAGTATGCACATTACCTGCACATTTGTGGCTTACATCCAAAAGTCCCTATGTCTGTCGCTATTCTATCTCTGAAGGGTTTTTAAAAAGTCTTTCAGAAGGATTTGCTTTTATCTTCAGAAGACTTGACTACTGTAATGGTGTCTTCACAGGTCTCACTAAAAAATCTATTAGAAAGCTTCAGCTAATTCAGAACGCCGCTGCTCGAGTCCTCACTGACACTAAGAAAGTGGATCAGTCCAGTTCTGAAGTCTTTACACTGGTTCCTCACTAACACTAAGAAAGTGGATCAGTCCAGTTCTGAAGTCTATACACTGGTTCCTCACTAACACTAAGAAAGAGGATCAGTCCTGTTCTGAGGTCTTTACACTGGTTCCTCACTGACACTAAGAAAGAGGATCAGTCCTGTTCTGAGGTCTTTACACTGGTTCCTCACTAACACTAAGAAAGTGGATCAGTCCTGTTCTGAAGTCTTTACACTGGTTCCTCACTAACACTAAGAAAGTGGATCAGTCCAGTTCTGAAGTCTTTACACTGGTTCCTCACTAACACTAAGAAAGTGGATCAGTCCAGTTCTGAAGTCTTTACACTGGCTTCCTGTGTGTTAAAGAATTGATTTAAAAAATACTGCTGCTGGTTTATAAATCATTGAAAGGTTTAGGCCCAAAATACGTTTCTGATCTCCTGCTAAATTATGAACCATTCAGAACTCTCTGGTCTGCTTTCTGTCCCCGGAGTCAGAACTAAACCTGGAGAAGTTCAGTTATTATGCTCCAAATATCTGGAACAAACTCCCAGAAACCTGCAGGTCCGCTGCAGCTCTGTTAAATCCAGGCTGAAGACTTTCTTTTTGCCGCTGCTTTTAATTGAGCTATTCCTATCTTAAACTGCACTGTAACTTTTATTCATGTACCTGTGATATTCATGTTTTATTATCTTTGCTTTTTAATGAATGTTTTGAAATGCCAGTTTATAATGTGTTTCCGCTGCACTATTTCTTAATGTTTTTCATTGTTGTAAAGTGCTTTGAATTGCCTTGTGTTGAAAGGGTCTATATGAACAAACTCGCTTGCCTTTCAATCTAAAAAGAAGACTGATGGATGTTTGTTTTCCTACCTGCCCTCACCGATCAGCGTGACGCCGTCCATGAACAGGGAGGTGATCGGCTCTCCATCCACCGCCTCAAGGAAGTCAACAATGCCCTTATCGGACACGGAAAGGTTGCAGAAGGTAATTTTCCTGAAGAAAGACATCATAGAAGAGTGAGTTTTTGGTTTGGTCACCATTTTCTTGGATTAGGGTTACTTGCTTAAATTACATCTCACAATATATAAATCCTTCTAGCATGTCTTATGTTGTGATATTCTACATATTTTGTGCTGTTAATATTCTGGGCAATGAACATTTGTGTTGATTATTTTGAGGCACTTTCGTTCTACCTAAATGTAGATCTAAAGTGTTTCCAAGCTCTTTAACCTGTTAAGCCCCGAGCCTGTTTTTCAGGTTTCAGGCTCGATAATGACATGCCCAAAACAAATGACTTCAACTTCACTTCTAAAAGGGTTATATGAATAATTTCTTTTATCAAAGCAAGGTTACATCTGTGAGTTGGATGTAGAAGTGTCAGAATCAATATAGATGTTTCTCAGTCAGAGTTAATTCAGATGGAACATAGTAAAAAAAGGTAAATTCTTACCTCCGCCTAAAGAAAAAACATTACTTATAGTGAAAACCACCCTTGAATGATGGGATGGTAGACTAAAAGCTTTAGGAATCCAAACTATAACATATAATAAGTAGATTGAGGCAAAACAAGTTAAATTTGACCTTTTTAGAGAGGTTTAGCAAAAAGAAGTTCCAGGCGGAATAAGCTTTCGGCACATTTGGGTACATCTGGTTCCATCAGTGCCATTTGACCTTTTTCAGGTACCAGACTATAAAAATGATGTATTACATTGAATGATCACCATAGGTATTCATTCCATCCAAAGAAAAAAAAATTAAATAAAAAAAATTAAAAATAAACTTTTTTTTTTTTTTTTAATTTGTGAAAAAAAAAGACCCGCCGACGGGGGCTTTGGGGCTTAGGAAAAATCAACGATTGTAGCAGTGTTGACGGGCCACCAGGTGTCGCTGTTTCGCTTAAAGTTATTGTTGTTTATCCCTTGTGGAACAAAGTAGTTTCAGCATTGTTCTGTGCGGGTGGCCATCTTGTTTCTAATGTTTACATTCTACTATAAGCAAGGTGAGTGGTATTAATTGTGGCAAATAATCGTATAAATCTAACGTTATAAACGCTCACCCAGTCAATTTGTTCGACTCCTTTGTTAGTTAATATGTTTACTCACTCGTTTGTGTAGATTTGAGAATTAGACGCTTGTGTTTTGTCTGATAATCTGGTGATTTATATTGGTTAGCATGTGGCTTATTGAAAGACTGCTGCATTACAATTAGTATTGTAGATTTTGTCCAGTAGTTTCAGTGCTGAAATGTTTCATACTACTTCATGTATTTCATCTTTTACTTTCACAAGTTGATGAAGAAGAGCTACCATTAAGAGAGGCTACGGGACATTTGGGTTGCTTCAGCATTGGAAAATAGAAGCACTGAAACAAAAGGAAAACATATTGTGTACAGACCTGACTCTCCGGCTGGCCATCTCTCTGAAGGGCTGAACGGACTGATTCAGATGCAGGTCTTTCAGAATAATAGGCGTCTCAGGGTAGGACACGTCCCCGATCACATCCGAAGCTAAACCTATGTTTGTTAGAAATGGACCATGGAGGCTTAAAGTGACTCGACCCAATGGCCAAACGCCAGCTAGCGCTCCGGACTCGTACCTGCAACATGGAGAGAAACAGGACGAAAGAGTTGGCAATAGTGAGACAACATGTCTACGTGAGAACATTGCAACTTGGGTAAATATTTAGGAGATTATTGTTGATAATAATAATAATAATAATTCACAAGTAATTTTGTATTTTGTCCTTACCATACCCTCTATCTTCAAATCTATTTAGTTTTGAAAACCAACCCCATTAAAGGAAATTAGGGTTAGGGTTAGGGTTAGAATACAAATCTCTTAACCACAGACCTTATTTCCGGCTAACAACCAAAAACACATTCAGATAACCATTGACTTCCAGACCAGGGGACAACAGAGAACAAGAAAGTGGTTAAATGTGGTCTCATTTGCAGGATTGAGGACTCATTCCTTAACCACATGGCCGTGCTTTCTCTCACGATTCGTTTCTTGGTACTTCTTGGAAAACAATCAGCACAGATTCAGTCTCGCACCTCATTCTTGTTCGTTCTTTATTAGGATCCCCATTAGCACTAGCATGAGCATTGGCTCTTCTTCCTGGGGTCCTCACACACACAGTCAAACATACATACAACTAAACTAAAACAAAACAGCTCGTCATTTCATGCAATTTACAATGCTATATGAAGTGAAAAATAAAATGGTCATCCAATAGCCATCATAAGGCCAAACAAAAAAATTCAAATAATTGTACAAAATAATACATACATAGCCACAGGCACAGTTCAATTGTACTTTATAATACTGAGATGATTGTTCAGCAACCTTTTGGATTGTACATGAGAATGTTCCTGAATGATATGGACGGGTAAAGAGTTCCAGCTGACAGAATGACTATTTTCTGTTTCATATTTGATTTAGATTTGGGTAATACGAACCTTCCTTCTATTGCATGTCGTGTTTGATGGTTATGTTGAGCATACTGCGCTATACACCTTTGTGATAATATATGTGCTAAGTGAGTCACTGTAATATTTCTGACAAAATGTAACAAAGTATAACTTGACGTCTGTCTGACACTTATCCATTTCAGTGTCTCCAGCATTTGAGTTACCTCCTCAGGTTGTTTGCCTGCACAGTGAGCTCCTCCAGCTGAGAGACTCCAGACAGATCTTCTCTCCTCAGTTCCTCCAGAGCAGGACCTCCGAACATCAGCCTCCTCAGCCTCACCAGCCTCTGCAACACTGGACGAGTTCCCAGACAGCTGGAGGACACAAAACACACAGTATGTAGACACTTAGTGGATACTCAGACCCAGACACTCCTTAAAGGTCACCTATCATGCAAAATCCACTTTCTCATGTCTCTTCTACATCAACATGTGTCCCCTCTTCTTCATGTCTCTTCTTCATCAACATGTGTCCCCTCTGTGGAAAGAGACTCTGAAAGTTTCAGGAACAAAGATTCTCTCTCTTTTTGTCCTGATCCATTTTTATAAAAACCTGTCTGAAAATGAGCTGATCAGATTTTGGCCACTTGATGATGTCATAACGATGTTTTGGCTAGTGTAACCATTAGCCAATCAGCAACCAAGGTACCCCCCCCCCTTATCACCTGAATCTCCTCCTAGAGCACCATTGAGTTCTTTGTAACCAAATCTCTCTCAGAGGGGCGTGGGGAGGAGCTCCTTATTTTCATCTAAAGTAACAGACAGAGAATCAGCACTTTGGAAACAGGGCTGAAACAGAGGGGATTATGGGTAATGCTGCAATGATCTGTTTGGTGTTTCAGCCAATCAGCGGCATGTTCTGTATATATCTGAGACATGTAATATATTGATGAAAGACATATAATAGGGGACCTTTAACTTAAACCTGTCTGTTTACTATCCTGTCTCCAGAATGGGGGAACAAGCTTACTGTGGATATCAGGACTGAGGAAAGTCTAGACATCATCCGAGGTGGATTAAAAACCCACTGCACCTTGGCCCTTCAAATCTCAAAATCAATTGAAGCACTTACAATATTTGAGATTTTTTTTAAAGCTAATGCACTTGCAGGATTCTGAATTTGTATCGTCAAGGTTGATTGCATTTGACTGTAAGTTGATTTGGATATAATCTTGTCGTGGCTTCCTTCCTTTGTTTTTCTATCAATTCCCTAGATGCCTTAAACAGACATTTTTAACTTGTTTTCTTTCCTTTATATTACTTACAGTTGAAGAGTTGCTTGGCCTTCGATGGTTTGGATGATATTATGCGATGTGTTTACTCAAAATAAAATAACAAACTTTTACACATGCAACAAAGAAAATAGGCCTTTACAATAGTCAAAACAAAAGAGGCAAAACTCAAATTAAATAACAAACATCTTAGGTATTCTTACTTTCTTGATAAGGCTTATATAACTTCATAACTTAAAGGGTAATTGAACGGTTAAAAACTGTTCCTCGACGGCGTCTTTCTACCCATCTCTGTCACTTTAGAGGAGGTGCCATGGGAATTGTAGTCTTTTCTACTCTGGTTGACTACAGACATCACGATTAGTTGGCCTTTCTTATAAAAACAAAATACTGGCTCTAACAAATATAATGAACCATAACGCACCCTGAGCGTGTTACCTGTACGGGTTGAGGAGCAGGTTGAGTTCCTGCAGAGCTCCTAGCTTACTGAACCATCTGCGGTTGATGGCAGTCAGCTGGTTGTCGGACAGATCGAGCCGCTCCAGACTCCACAGAGAGTCAAACGCTGACGGGTGGATCTCAGACAGTCTGTTACCTGGAGGAAAGCAATATCCAGGTTTAAAAAAGATCAGACATTTGGACAAAAACTTGATCCGGAGTTCCGCTGATTATTAGTGGTTATCATGATGTGATTTCTTACTATTTCCCTCTTCAAACATCACAATCAGGCATGGATCTTTGGTCAACACTATACTTGGCATTTCATTGGTCATTGGTCATTGGTCAAAGACACAAAACAAAGCAGAAATCAAGGTTTGATGCTCTCAAATTGTAAAACCCATCAAAGATTCAAAGGCTTTATTGTTATATGCACTACAGCTACAAACAATTTCTCACATTTCTCCTAGTGGGCGTGTTTTGTAGCACGTTTGCACCTGTCGGCCACTATAGATATCTCCTAGGCTTCTCCAACAATGCTATATACAATCTACATAAGATATGAAAAAAAGGAGAATAGTGCAAGTAAAATGCAGCGATATATATGATGGAGGAAATAAGTATTTGAACCCTTGCAGATTTTGTAAGTTTGCCGACTTACAAACAAATTAACATTCTATACTTTAAATGGTGGGTTTATTTTAACAGTGAGAGTAAGAATATCCCACAAATAAATCCAGAAATGGACATTATATAAAAGATACAAATTGATTTGCAAAAAAAAAAGAATTGAAGATAAAAATTGATTTGCATATAACTCTGGGAAATAAGTATACACGGTATAATAATAATAATAATAATAATAATAATAATAATAATAATATATTACATTTCTATAAGGCCGCTTTACATGGTGAACAAACAAACAAACACAAACCAAAAAGGGCAAATAATAAGGTGAAACAAATCAAGTGTGCTTTTAGAATAGCTCAAAATAACCCCTCATTACGGTGTAGAATCAGAATCCGCAGTTTCTCGTGTCCCGTCAGGTCGCCGCCGGTCACCACGGCGATGTCGTTGAAGGAAAGGTCAAACGTCAGGGCACGGTCTGTTACCGTGGGAACAAGCGTGTATCCTGCGTGGGAGCAGTTGCAGGCGAGTCGAGGGTCGCAGCGATCGCAGGACGACCTTTGACCTCGACACATGGCGAATGAGAGGACGAGGAGGAGGTAGAGGTTGGTCAACAGCTCCATTCTGCAGAGAGGTCAAACAAAAGAGGTTAATAAAGGGGTGCTGTGTTGGACCCTTCAAAAAGAGTTCTCTATCTGTGTTTTTTTTTTTTATGTATTCACCATGACATCAAGTCAAATTCCTCGTGTGGAGGAAATTCCACACAAAAACAGAAACAACCTGTTTGGCAAGAAATGAACAAACAATAGAAGTTTAAAGCAACGTTTTTGTTAATCTATTTCAGCTGACAGGACAGAGTCTCTAAACCAAACAGTTCGTACAAGTCCTGACAACCTATAACAGAAAATACAAACACTTTATACACTCCAGAAGGAGGGAAGGGGAAGTTCCTCAGCAAGCACGTTTACATTACAGGAAGTGTTAACCAGATGGTTGAAAAGTACATACAGCTATGCAATATACATTACAGGAAGTGTGGAACAGACGGTTGAAACTCACATACATGTTAATTACAAACCAATGGTTATTAATAACTGTGTAATATATATCTGGCTGCTAAATCCTTAGAACTGTTACAAGGTGTGTATTTTGTATTTTGTAAATGGTGTAACATGCTGCTGTTAAATACCAACCACCTATGTGCAATATGTGCTAGATGTGCAATATATATAGATGCCGTTAATAACTGTGTAATTTATACCTGGCTGCTAAATCCTCAGAACTGTTACAGGATGTGTATTTTTTTTTAATTATGTAACTTTTTATTTTTTATTATATATGTTTTAATTATATCATAACTTTTTTTTTAAATGCATATCACATATTTAACATTATGTAACATTAAGCGGTGTGTGGCTCTTTTTCCTGCTGTAACTACGCAAATGTCCCCTCCGTGGGACCAATACAGGTATTGTGATTGTGATTGTGATTGTAGAGACAGCCTTTTGTCTGTTCTAAGGACGTGGAAATTAGAGGCTCGATGTGAATTCAAACCGTGGGAAATAAACGGAGAATGAAGTTACAGTGATGCTTATGATTAAATGAGATTTAGTGAGACATTTCTACAACTCCTCGTACGTGTCGACCCTACGGCAGCATCTCCCTGGTCCAATGGGATTTCCCAACTCATTTCAACTATTGTAACACTGTAATCTGATGTTATGTAACTGTAAGGGAATACAGTTACCTTTTTTATGTTTTGGTGTCCTGATAATCCTGTTAAATGTAATCCATTACTCCTGACTGACGGAAACATGACAAAAGTGAACGAAACTCTGGGAGGAACTGTGATTTAAAGAAAGAGGAAGTCTTTAAAGTTTTATTATGACTTTCAAAAAGCCTTTATTTAAATACAACGGCTTTACGAGAGGTACGCTCTGTGCCGTTAGATTGAAGCCTTGGGACCTCACATGTGATTTCCCCTTTTCTGTCTCCTATGTTCTACACGTCAAAAAACTCACAAACACCAAGAAATACAATTCTATATTTTCAGTTTACGTTGCCCCTGGTAACGGCAGCATTACAGCTCCTAACCCTTATGGTATAAAACTTGGAAGAAGAAACTAAAAAAAAATAAAAATCCTTCCATCACTTTTTTAAATTCATGTTGTTTTTTCAAGCATTCAAGTTAATGAGAAACTGATGTTCGTTATGAGGCTGAGTTATTCCTTTTAGTGAACGCTGCGCATGTTTCCTCAAGTTGCTGAATGTTCTCTAAATGCTGTATGTGTTGTCAAGTTGCTGAAGATGTTTCTTCATGTGGACAGGAACATTATATCTAGTACTCTTTTTTTACAATTGTTTTTAGTAGTACTATTAATAAGAAATATGAGATAACAACAACAGAACTACGCCTACAGTACATTGCATACAGCGCCCACACACTGTGAATTAAATAAGATATTTAACTTGCACTTATTATGATAATATTAATACAAAATAAGAATATATTTACCATTTTATGTGGAAATTGAATAAAAACGATTGCACATTGGGTCAAAGAAGTCAAGGATCAACCCAAAACATTTTAAAATATTATTAATTTTATAATTTATTGAAGGTATAGCGTTAAAATCTGCCTTCACCAGAACCAGCGGGTGAACACTTTTTATTTAGGTCTATAAAAATGTGAATCAATGCAACACTTTGACAAAGCAGTGCAGCGACACGTCGAGAGAAAGTTAATCGTTAACCAAAAAGAATGACTTCTTATCAGCAAAGGTCGACCGTAACATGGAAATATGCATTAGAAAAAAGTACATTTCACGTTTCATTCAAGGATTTGATCGTAAATATGAGACTTACCTGATTTGTTTTGCAGAGCTGGAGCCTGAACCGCTTTAATGATTAAAATGGAGGTAAAGTACTTTTTTTTTTACGAGAGAGGAAGTCGAACTCACACTGAGAAAGAGGTAGTGAGCATGAAAATCCACTTTCGGGAGGAAACCTGCATCTGTGAAGAGGCATCGGAGCATGACGACAGTTAATAAAGAGGCCCTGTTCTTCTTCTGTGGTATTTCCTCTCCTGTAGTGTGTTCTGTAGGTTTTAGTGCATGTCAATGGTCTGCAGAGGCTAAAATTCCTGTGTTCCTAAATATCAGTTTTATTCAAATTAATTGTGATAAAGTTCAACAGGACTCCAGATGTGAGCTTAGGTAATATTAAAATACTCCTTTTTAAGTCAAATAACCTCATTTTATCCAGTTAATAATAAAACAAATTTGCTTATTTATTTTCTTTTATATTATTAATTGTATCTATAATTGTATTCAATCCCCCCCTTTTTTTTTAAATAAGTTAATAATTAAAAAGAACAATTTACTTTACTTACTTATTATTTAAAATGTTGTTTAACCCATTAAATTATTATTTTTTATGGATTCGTTTTTCATTTAATTAAAAAAACGTTACCTTATAAATTAACCTTATCTTATTAAAGGTAGGGTAGGTAAGTTTGAGAAACCGGCTTGAGATACACTTTTTGTTATATTCCATGGAATGCTCTAAACATCCCGATAGCAATGAATATCTGAAGTGCTTTGACAAAAAATCCATAAAAAAACATCATCTGTGGAAGCCGTGGTACTGTAAAAAGCACGACCAATCATCTGAGCCGGCCCGGCTAAAATAACTGGATGGCCTACCTGCCTGTCAGCCTTCCATCTGTGCACAAACTTATCTCGTGCCCTCATTGGTCATGTGCACGTTCGTGTGTGTTGGAGGAGGGGCTCTGTAAGGAAGTGGCAGATTTTTTCCGGCTGTGTATTTTCAAATTCTAGCGCACTTAAGCCGGTTTCTCAAACTTACCTACCCCACCTTTAAGCAAACCGGAAGCACCTGATCCCCGTTTTTTTGTTTTGTTTGTTTCTACTTTTTGGTTACTTCCTGGACAAGTTGCACCTTTAAAAGTAAACCGAATCATCCACACTGAGCTCTTGTTTGCAGTGAACTGTTGGATTTATCTTAATTTATCTCTGGATTACTTTAACACTGAAAAAAACGTAGAAATGTGAAGATTTCCAGGCAAGTTCTGCAGGAATGAGGAGCGCCTATTTTCTATGACTTAAGCGGATTTGTGGTCGCTTTTCCGCGGTGTTCACTCGATTTAACTTCATTACCAGAAAGCTTAAGTCCATGGGAATATAGAAATAGAACTGTCTTGTCTGTGTGTTCAGATTTGACTTTGTTATAATCCAAAATAGAGTCCGATGTTTGACGCAAATAAACCGCTTTATTCTGATTTAATTGATTTGTGCATCTTTACAATTAACATTAAATAAAAACATAATTGGTCAGATTGATGTTTAATCAACTTTATCATATTTCATTTGTCTTTTTCACCACGTGATGGAGCCAAACTCCATTTAATATTTTGTGTTAAAGTGTATATTAACCCTTTAATATCCAATATATTATCATATATTAAATTAAATAACGAAGCATACTTGATCTTTATTTATCTGTAAATGTAATACAATTAGAGGAGAACCCCTCTGTCTACTAAAGTAGAAGTACTCAGATCTCTGTCTACTAAAGTAGAAGTACTCAGATCTTGTACTTGAGTACCAGAGTGTAGGAATACTCTGTTACAGTAAAAGTCCTGCATTCAAAATGTTCCTCAAGTAAAAGTAGAAAAGTATTCTCATCAAAATATAGTGAAAGTAGCGACAGTAAAAGTAGTCATTGTGCAGATTGGTCCATTTCAGAATAATATATATGATATGTTTTATAATGATTGATCATGAAAGTGTTCTCAAAGCTGGTAAGGTGCAGCTAGTTTGAATGACTTTGTATACTGCAGGGTACAGTAGCTTGTGAATTTACTCCAGGTGGAACTACAGTCTGATTTAACACTTGATTATATTTCACATCATTCATCCACATCTGGGAAGTAACTAAAGGTATTAAATACATGTAGTGGAGTAGAAGTACACCATTTACCTCTGAGCTGTAGTGGAGTAGAAGTACAAAGTAGCATAACATGGAAATACTCAAGTAAAGTACCTCCAAATTGTACTTAAATATAGTACTTGAGTAAATACAAAACTAAATGTTACTTGCCACCTCTGCATATTAAAAACAGTGAGTTTATGTAAAGCCGCTCTTAGTTTAGAGCCTTGTTTTGTTCCGATCTGGGTCACATACCTTCATCCATTAAGCTGTAATATATAATAAACCCTAAACCTAATCTGTCCCGTCTGTTTATGTAAAGGTGTGATTCCACATGTTCAGGCATCAGTTACTCGCTGGTGTTGATACTGATGTAATAAATAAGCTGCGGCCATTGTCTTCCATTCAGACCGGAGGAAAGAGAACCTCTAAATCCAGGAGTTTATTTTATTTACTTTATTTTTTGTTTGTAGATTTCTCCTATAAATGGGAGTGTACCTGTGCGTAATGTTCATATTTTATTGTATTAATTAATAATAATTATATAATAATTTAGAGAGCACTTTTCATGGTGCTCAAAGACACTTTACATGCTAAAATTCATAAAAACAACACACTTAAAATATATAAAACACAACAGTAATCACAGAGTTTTGATTTGAGAAAATGTATTTTTGTCTAAATATCAGAAGTTTTTGTTGAATTATTATTATATATTTTTTTTATAAAACAGGACTTTTTTCTGGGCTTATTTATATTTTTATTATTAATTTAAATGATTTTCTTCCTCAAATATCACAACTTTTTTTCTATGCAATGTTTGATTTAACGTGTTATCTTTTTTCTCACAATTAATGTGACTTTTTTCCTCCAAACATAACATTTTTATTTCTATACATTTTTCTGAATTTAATTTAATATGGCATTATTTTCTGATCTTTAAAGTCTCCGGTTTTAAAAACCTTTGACTCTAATATTCAAACAAAATGAAACCAGAATGATGAACTCATATTTAACATAACGCTTCATTTGCATATTCAAACACAACATTAAAAAAAACTTATAATACAAAAAAACGATATCTTAAAGGTCACCTATCATGCTATTTTTAGGCAATAGCATCGGTCTCAGATATATAAAAATATATAAAAAACATGTCTATGAAGTGTTTTGCTCAAAATACCAAACAGATCACCCATTCTAGCCATGCCTCATATCCCTCTATTCCACTTCCTGTTTCAAAAGTGCTGATTTGGGGTATAAAGCTTTAAAAAGGAGGGGGCTGAGCTCATGCTGGACCCGGCAGCTACCGTCTAAACTAAATACTGCCGTGATGAAACACCATATCATGGATTATCAAGGATTGTTTCTGAAACAGTATGGAGCTCAAAGGCTTTCTCTCTTGCCGGTTATACCACAAGGTGAGTTCCTTTTTATTTCCTGCTTCTTCACACACATGCTCTCCAGTACAGGTTAGCTCTGAGTGTTAGCCATGCTAATGTAAACACCGACCATATTACGTCCAAAACAGTCGGGCATTGTTTCTGATAGCAACGTTTCTGATAGCATCTTTTCTGATAGGGCCGTGGGTCCACATTTCAGATATTACGTCATATCGGACGCAAATCTGGATCAGCTCCGTTGTAGCCCCGTTTTTAGAGATTTGGGTACGGAGGAAAAGAGAGAGGGTTTTATTTTCTGATGCTGCGTGAGTTCCCTGACACACAGGGGACACATGTTTATGTATAAAAGACATCAAAAAGTGCATTTTGCATGATAGGTCCCCTTTAATATGAATAACAAGTTGGGGAAGTTTCAGGGTGATTTATTTACGTACATTTTTTTATCCCATTCAGCTTTAATACAACAACACCTAGAAAAATATCACCTCAGGTTTTTTTGAGGACATAACATGATATGATCCAGCCTTCCTCAGGGGGTTTTCTCTCCCAAACAAAGTCCCAGCTTTGCACAAAACAAGGTCAGGAGAATACGAGAGCTTAGTGTGAGATGAGAGGGAATCATCTGGAAGCCAGACGAGACAGAAAGCTGAGACTCCAGAACAATGAAGACATGGAAAAAAAAGGTGGAACCCAAAACTCAGCGTGATAACAATAGTAAAATTAAAAGGTACATTTAAAGAGATACGTGTCTCTGCAGCTCTGTTACACCGACCTCTGACCTCCAAGCTTCAGGGAAGGTCGTGGGAAATTAAATAATGACTCAGGAGAGGCGGAGAAAACCTGCCGGATAAAAAGGAGCAGAAACACAGACTCAGGTAATGCTAGAACAGGTGAGTGCGCTTCAAATCTGCTCCTATTTAATGCAATGTGATCAAAGGCTATATACACGTTCGTGTTTATTCTGCAAGCACATGTTGTTTTTTACAGTATTTATTATTAATCTTTTGCACATTAATGATAATTATTTATAGAATTTCTTTTTTTTGTCAAACTTATTCAAATATATATATTTTTATTTATTGACATTTTTTTGTATGTATTAATTTTTCACTCACATTAATTATGATTTTGTACAGAATTCATTATTTTTTGCTAATTCTGCTTCATTTCTCTGCATTTATTTTAATTAACTGCAATGTAATCAAAGGCTCTATACATGTTTGTGTTTATTCTGAAACCACACATCTTTTTTTACAGAATGTATTATTTGTTGCAGATTAATTATAATCCTTTTATAGAATTTCTTTTTATTTTCAATCTTATTAAAATATTGGGTTTCTTTTATTGATTTATTTTTTAATGTATTATTTTTGCAGGCACAGTAATCATGTTTTTGTACAGAAATCATTATTTTTTCCAAGCACATGTTTTACGGAATATTTTTTATAATTTATTATTTTTGCAAAACTTTTGATATTTCTTCTTTTTTGTTTTCAGATGTATTTTTCTTTGCTAAGTTTGCCTTATATCTCTACATGTATTTTAATGTTTTATTTAACTGCAATGTAATC